GGGGGGGGGTAAACTGCACTCTGCTTAAAGGCGACGAGCTTGACTTGAACTGCTCGTATGGTTTGAATTTAGCAATTTGCCTGACGCTGTCAACTACCCGCCAGAATCCCCCCTCGCTAAAAGCACATCACCCCAAAACTGTTGAACTGCTTGAATATGTGGAAAAACCGTACCGCAAGCTTCCTTTTCATTGCAACTTATTGAACAGCTCGCAATGCTTGAAGCCCCCCCCCTAACAGCACAGCACCCCAAAACGGGTGAACTGCTTCAACTTCTCGCAAAACCCGTACCGCGAGCTTCTTCTTGGGCCTTCCCCGGACGGACATCCCAGGCGCATCGGGGCTTCCGCCTTCGCCGCTCTCGTTGTTGACCTTCTTCTTCTTCTTGACCCTCCTCGAGATGACGGGCTCGCAGGATGCCACAGCTACCGTCGCCACCGTCTGCCCGCCGTTCGTCGACAGCTTCTTTTTCGCCGTCTTCTTGCGGCGCTTGCTCTGATCTGCTGCAAAAAATCTATGTTTCAATAATTTTCTGTAACGTCCATGTTCGATAATCTAAGATCCTGCGTTCGTTAAGACTCCAGATACCCCCCCCCCCCAGCCGGCACCCAACTTTTGTATCTCGGCTCCCTGTTCATCTACAGGTGTGTAAAGTATACCAAAATGTTCGTCTTGCTGTGGCGAGTATTTTGGTATACTTTACACACCTGTAGATGAACAGGGAGCCGAGATACGGTATGTGGGGGTCGGCTGGGGGTTATCTGGAGTTTAGCCCTGCGTTCTTCTGTAGCGCATTTAGCTACCATTTCCTTTCATAACATTTTTGGCACTGTGCTGTTAGTGGGGGGGGCGGGGGGCTAATTTTTTTGCATCTAAATTTTTAAACTAAATGCAAATATTTTAAAACCGCCTTAAATCACTCTAATCTGCGCTATTTCTGATCAGTTTAACGGTATTAGTTGAATTTATTTTAAAAATTTTCTAAAACCTTAAAACATACGATTGCTCAAAAAATATGTTTCAAAAATTAATTAATATCAAAAATTTTTGGAAACTATGCTGCCTGAAAAACCATGAATTTTACTGTAATTTTTATTTTTACTTCAATTTCATTTGTTTTTACATAAATCTTAAAAAAGGAAAATTGCTACTCACCCATGATGAAGACACTGACGAGTTTCTAATGAAAAGTAAAAGCAGTAAGGAGTGAATTCAAATAGAAATAATGGTGGAGGGATGGGGGCCGAAACGCGATTTAACCCGAGATATAGATGCAAATCAGAATGTCGGCTGTGCTAATTTTTCATGTAAATTAAGAATTCTGCTAATTCTTGTTGTGTTTTTCACTGTATTTCGTGGCGCTCAAAATAATCCTACCTTATATAATTTAGGTGTGTATCTTTGTGTGTGTGTGTGTGTGTGTGGATGTCACTTTCGAGACCCGATTTGAGGGCCTTCCCGTGTGCAAAACGCCCCAATTCTTCGTCACTCGGGGGAATCGACCTTCCTGTTTCCGATGGCGTTCTCAGAATTACGATAAAATACAAGTTTACAAAGTTCAGGCCGGTTTTATTCATTTTTGGTGGTCATGGAGGGCTAGTTTGCATAATGTGAAAAAAATACAAATTTCCTCATTCTTGCCAGTTGCACTCGCGTGTGTGGTCGGTTGGGGGGTCCGAAGGGTTTTGGGCGCTGGTCAGCTAACAACTGTTTAGCAGTTTTCATGGATTTTGAAATTTGATGCAACATGTTTTTCAATGGTGCTCGGACGCGGGGAAGAGAGAGAGAGAGAGCGAGAGATAGAGAGAGTGAGTGAGAATGAGAGCGAGCTTGAGAGAGTGAGATAGTCACAGAGAGTGAGAGCGAGATAAAGAGAGAGAGAGATAGATAGATAGAGAGAGATAGCGAGAGAGAGGGACAGAGTCGGGGATTTTCAGGGAGAGAGAGAGAGAGAAAGAGAGAGAGAGAGTGAGAGAGATGGAGAAAGAGAGAGATCGAGAGAGACATCGGGAGAGACAGAGCCAGAGCGAGAGAGGAGAGAGAGAGAGGAGAGATATTCCATAGATTTCTACAAACTGAACTTTCGAAAACCGCCCCCGTGTTTGCTAACTTTCGACCATAAGTGCCCCCTGCTGCCCCCTGGGGGTCATGTTTTAGGGTGTATTATTGACTTTTACCTACCCTAATAAAACCCCGCATTTCCCCTCCATTTTTTGGGCAAACACACGATTTTGAGTGTGCTATAAAACCCAAAAAGGTGCATTAGCTTTGAACCACGTTTTTCTAAAACTTGAAATCACCAGAAAATGAATCTATTGCAATCGTATTTCCCATACCTCGCGCTTCTTACCGTAGCCTGGGCTACCGTATGCAAGACGAATTTCGATGCGAGTGGTGAAATTCTGGGAGAGGTAAGATCGTTTAAAAATGTAAAAATGGTCGAAAACGAATTTTCGTTAAACTAAAATTTGAGAATTTCCATGTTTCGAAAATGATTTAGCAAAAATAAAATGATTTGTGTTTAATCAGGTACGCATTGTCCTTCACTCCTTATAATCGAGGATGTAACGGCAAAATTTTATAATTTTAATAGATTAAATCAACCTAAACATAAATCGAAAACCAAGTATCTTATCCGGATTTTTTTAATTTTTCGCGTTCATTTTGAATTTCAGCTATCCGACGTCGAGTGCAACAACAACTGTGAATTCTGCGCAACGCTACGCCATAGGTAACGTTTATAATTAAAATTTTAAAGGAGCCGGCAAGGCAGATTTGACCATTGTCGAGAAAAAACTGCGTTTTTCGGCTTTTGCGCCAAAAAAAAATAAAAAAATGTTTCGAAATCTGAGGTAGTGACAAAGCGTGTTATATTTCTACTATCCCTTTGATTCACGATTCTCCTAATCTTTTTAGCCTGAATTTTAATGCTTTCTTTCTGGTGCTTTCGCGTTATCGGGGGGAGGGGGCGCGATTTTTTTTGGATTCCATTTTTCCACCAAAATGAGGGGAAGCGTTCGTAAGTTTATTTTTACTATCGGAAAACGTAAACCTTCACGATTTTTACTTGAAATTCACAAATGGGTGTTTCAAGCATCAATAACAGATTTTCAACCAAAATTGCATATTTTCCATGTCACTTGCTAAGATTGACCTTCCTTGTCCCCTTAAATGACGATATTTCAACAAATCTGCTAGTTAAATAATTTCCAGCGGCCGTTTCATGAAATTCCAAGTGCACGGCTGCGGCTGCGGGGATAAGAGCATTTTTGGGCCCGATGAGAAGACGGCGCGGACGCTGAATGATTGCACGGTCGGTTCGGGCATACTGTAATTCATACAATTTATTGATTAACTAATTAATCTAAATTAATCTCTGTAATTAATCGGCAATTAATAAATCCACAAAAAAAGACTGATTAGTGTCCCTTTGGCATCGCAGAAATCATGAAGGCTCGAAACATTTTTTTTTTGAAAATTGTTGTTTCAATCGTTGATGGATGTTGCATTTTTACGAGCTTTAAATTACAAAAACCAATTAAAAATTACTAAATTTTTGCTTTGAGAAATTACGGCCTCAAAATTCAATTATTGAGTGTATGTTTCAAAGATCGGTAAATAGCGATTGGAAATGGGCGTCATTACTATGCTTTTCGCTATTTCCAAAAATCTCTCAAACTGGCTCTAAAGGCCATTTAATTGATTCTTACTTTATCCCCTTGCACAGATTAAATTTGCGGTACAAATCCTTTGACTGTATGTTTCACGGTATGGCAAGTTTCCAGCGGCAAAATGGGCGATACTGCATAGTCTTTTACGAGTTTCATCCCATTTTTTACTAAAAGAACCATAACAAAAAATTGAATAGAACATCAATCCCCCCGCAAAATAGAACAGTACCAATCGATTAAATAAATCAATTAATTTTCGGATGTTTTTGCTTACCTTTTTTTATAATTAGCTGTTTTTGCAACGATAAATTAAGAGATCAAAATCCACATTTTTAACGTATGTTTCACGTCTTGGCAAACTCGGATTGAAACTGGATGTTTTTACTATCAGTTCCTGTTCTTTATAAAATTTTTGATCACTAGCTTTACAGACCTTTTCTTCGGTTCTTTTGTATCGACTTTGCTGTAATCTTTGGACTATATGTTTCACGACAAGGTCCATTTCCAGCGGCAATATTGGTGGTATTCCATTCAAAGCTTGTAGTTTGAAACAATTTTATTCGAAAACTCGCTTTTTGACAGACGTTGAATTCAATCGTAGTTTTTCTAGGTGTAATGGTATTAGCCTACTCTAAATGTAGTTCTACTCAAGTTTCCATTTTTTTCGGCAATCGGGAGTTTTTAGGATTATTTTCAGGCAATCGGCGCGCAAAACGGCACCCAAAACGGCCAGCGAATACGGTGGGCCTGCTGCGCCGAGGAACTCTGTAAATTTAGCTAATTTTTTGCGCTATTTTTCAAGTAATAATGTGATAATAATAAACTTCTCCGATTTAGCTAATATTTAATTTGAAATCTCAAAATTAAATTGCCCATACAAAGCATTTATTCCCCAAAACGAAGAAAAAGACAGGAAGGAAAAAGAAAGGAAAGGACGGCGATCGGCAGGGCCCGGCAGGCAAAAACGAAATGGAAGGAAAGCGGAAACAGATGAGAGGGCAGAGAAATACAGAAAAGGGGCCGGGCTTCGGGAAGGGGAGGTACGGTAGATGGTATCGTTTCGTTGTCGACAGATGGTGGCGACGAGTTCGAGCAGTTCAGATGTCGATGAAGGGCTCGGGGAGTCGAGACTGGCTGGAAAATTGCACTTTTTGAAAACTCTCTCTCTCTCTCGCGCTATCTCGCTCTCTCTCGCTCTCTCGCTCTCTCTTTATCTTTCTCTCTCTCTCTCTCACTATCTCCCTCTCTCTCCCCCTCTCTCTCTCTAGCTCTCTAGCTCTCTCGCTCTCTCACACTCTCTCGCTAGCTCTCTCTCTCCCACCAAAGCCTAGGCGGCCATCTCGAGAGCGACGTAGGCGTCAACCAGTTGGAGATCCTGGAAAAAGAGCAATAAATCCTCTAAATCCATCAGAATCAATCGTTTTAAAGACCCATTGAAGGCAAGGAAAAGTGGGCGTGGCTTGGCATACCTCGAAAGATTGTGCTTGGTTGCGGATCCAGGCATCCTCGAAGGCCGCCTTCCACGCGCCCGCATTTTTCAGGCGCCTGTTCTCCGCGGGGGCCGACTCTTGCAGCTTTTTCGCCTAAAAAAAGCAGAATTTTCGGTTGAGCAAGCTAGTAGAGAACATTTGCGAATTGCGCGCCGGTTAGCAGGGAAAATATGACGATTTATGAAAAGCCAACAGTGAAAATCGAAAATTTAAGGAAATTGACTGATCCCCCGAGATTTGGGATCTTTTGCATTATCGGGGGGGTGGGGGCGAACTTTTACCAATGCGCCAAGAAATTCATTTAGTCGTGTTTTTAGTAATCATCGGCAGTTTTCAAGTGTTTCCATTTGAAAATTTATGTTTTAAACCAGGTTGAAAAGCCGCTTCGCGACTTTTCAACCCTGGCCCCGTCTAACCCAATTTTATCCTTCACTTTGCATAATTGTCCTGAATTCAGATGACAAAAAAATGAAAAACAACCTATCCTGTGCCTTTATATAGTCGAATCACCACTTCCGGTCTATGCTAATTATTTCCTAACAAAGAACTTTCACAAAAACTTACATTTAATGTCGAAAATGGCTGATTTTGTAAAATTTGGTATGTGTGCAGTCATCTCAAGACCATTGCGCACCTAATGACGTATCAAACATACCCGTAACTTCCTCCCCTATCGAGATATCCTCCGGACAGACAGAAGGAAGTGGATGCAAAGTGGCACACACACACACACACACACACACACACACACACACACACACACACACAGACACTATTTTTTTATATATAGTAGGATTATTTCCAAAAAATTTATGATTTTTTAATCACAATGGTGCTGTTTTCGCCCGGTGTATATCGTAAGAACTCATGAATCCTCTGTGTATTTGTATCAGAATAAAGCCCCCCCCCCCGATAATGCCAAAGAACCGGGATTTTTAAGGATAGGCAGGCTAGCAGAGATAATTTGAGACAAGGGGCAGGCTAGCAGAGACCATTTGCTCCCACCTCTTCGAGCTCCTGGTCCGTGGAGATGGTGGAAAGGCCGAGGGCCAGAATGTCGCCGAGCCCATCCTGCACCGATGAGGTGGCCGTGCTGAAGGTGGAATTTAATGGCGTAAACGATTAGCTCTCGCTCGCTCGCTCTCTCTCTCTCTCTCTCTCTCTCTCTCTCTCTCTCGCTCTCTCTTTCTCTCTCTGTTTTTGTCTCTGTCTCTCGCGCTATATCTCTCCCTAACTCGCATTCTCTTTCTCTCTCTAGCTCTCGCTCGCTCCGTCTCTCTGTCACTCCCTGTCTCTCTCTCGCTCTCTCTTTCTCTCTCACTCTCTCTCACTCACTCTCCCTCTCCCTCGCTCTATCTCGCTCTCCCTCCATCTCTCTCTCTCTCTCTCTCTCGCTCTCTCTCGCTCTCACTCTCTCTCTCTCTCTCTCTCTCTCTCTCTCCTACTTACTCGGAGATGAGTTTCGGGAACCTCGACTTCAGATAGGGGAAAAGCTTGTCCCCGTGGGCATAGTTGGCCGTAATCCCGCGGGTCACCCAGATCGAGTCCTGGGCTCGGATCAGCCCCGTCTTGTCGATGATGCCGTCGAGGAGCCTGAAAAACGGGGTGTCACCATCCATTTAAAACGGCTTTAAAAGAATCTAGAACGCGTAACGCACACGCGACGCAGAACGCAACGCAACTGACACGCCCACGACCCCCAAACCTACGCCTCGAGCGCCGTCCAGTCGTTGCTGCACGTGATCGCCGCCAGCAGGTCGTTGCTCTCCATCTGGTCGGCTAAAAAGGTTATAGATTTTTTTCAAATCCTGAGTTCTCGGTCCCTTTAGCGGTGCCAAAACCCTACTCTCTAACTTGTACAGCTCCAGCACCTCGTCGCCAATCTTGTCGCCCGGCGCGGCGGCGCGCACCGCCTCGCAGTACGCCATTTTGCGGAAGTACGCTGGGGTGCTGGAACGGGTACGGTAATTGAGTAGGCGGACGGGCTAACAGAGCCTTTTAAAGGTACAGTGACACCCACGTCGCACAGCTGGACGCCATCTTCGAGCCGGCCTTATTGGACTCGAAGCAAGGCTTGTGCACAAACTCCTCGTAGGCGACCCTGAAAATGGAAAATTACATCGGTGGAAACTCATCAAGCCCACTTGAACGCCTTGCCGCAGTCGTCCGGGTAGAGACGGCAGGCCGCCGCGAACTCGGCCAGCTCCATCAAGCTGAAAAAGGTGGAGGGCAGGCTAGCAGAGATTGTTGAGGAAGAAGAGAGGGCAGGCTAGCAGAATTGTTGAGGAAGAGGAGAGGGCAGGCTAGCAGAGGCCATATGCAGAATTTGAAATTGAAAAGACGCATTAAAGACATTTGCAGAATTAAAAAGACTGGAATAGCGTACTGCTCGCGGTTCTTGGCGCTGTCCTCGTGCGCCGCCTCCATGCGGTCCGACACTTCGGTCAAGTGCGCGGCAAAACTTGTCGGGTCGCCCATCGCCGGGGGCAGGGGGATTTTGGTGATGAGGCGCTCCTAAAAACCATTTTTATAATTTTTTCTGTAAACTCAGCAATTCGAAGCGACACAAAATATCTTTTGAAAGTTCCAATTTTTCGAAAAAAACTGGAATGGGGTACTAACGGGGGGGGTACTCCTCTAAGAATCTCTGCTAGCCGCCCACCTTGACGGACGGGTTCTTCAGCTTGAGCATCTCCAGGCCGTTGTTGATGAGCTTGGCGCGGGCGAGGGGTGGGAGTTCCTGAAAACAGCAGATCTCTCTTTCTCTCTCCCTCTCTCTCTCTCTCTCTATGGCGCTGACCTTCTCGGTGAGGAGGTCCAAGAATAGAAGCGCAGCCTTGTAGCTGGCCGGCCTTGTGATGGCCAGGGCATAGATGTCGTCGATGATTCGCACGAGGGTTCTCTCTTCTAGTCCTTTCTGAACAAAAAGCGCATCCGTCGGCGCATTAATAGACGCATACCCAGTGACCGGCGAGAATGGCCTTCCACCCAGCCTCATCATAGTTGACACGCACGTAAGCACGGCCCTCGTGGTTCACGATCGGTGGGCCGTCTTCGGCAATCACCGCCACTGGAAATTTTTGATATTTTTGCATAAAAAAATATAAATTAAATATAAAATGACAGAAATATTCAAAAAATTAAGTTTTTCCAAAAACCGATATTTTCGATAATTTTGCATAAAAAGTTGTAAAGTTATCTAGCAGAAATGTTTTAGGAACCCAGATTTCACAGGGCAGGCTAGCAGAGATCATTTGAAACCTACGAGTTTTCGGCTCCTCCTCCAGCACAAAATATTCGTGTTGCTTCCGGCGGCGGTCGACTTGAACGAGTGGAATCGACCATGTACTGAAAATCAGATGAAGAGAGAGGGAGAGAGAGAGAGAGAGAGAGAGAGAGAGAGAGAGAGCGGGAGGGAGAGGGTGGGAGAGAGAGAGGGAAAGTGAGCGAGAGAGAGAGCGCGCGAGAGAGTGAGAGCGAGGTGGAGAGAGAGAGAGTGATGGAGAAGGAAAGAGTGATGATGAGGAAGAGAGCGACAGAGAGAGAGAGAGAGAGAGAGAGAGAGAGAGAGAGCGAGAGAGTTATCTTCTCACTTGTCCATCGAATCGTTGTACTGCTTGTTCATCTCCTCCGGATTCCCGAGATAGTATCGATGCTGCGTGAGCGTCCACTCCATCATGCCATCTCCAGCCGGCCCCTTTTGCGCCACGTTCACCACCGGGAAGCCCATCTGAAAAATTCCTCAAATGGTCTTTGCTAGCCTGCCTAAACCGAGGTTTTGGTCGAAAATCGGCCAATTCTGGCTCAAGAATGGTTATTTTTTGTAGCTTGTAGAAAAAAAGCTGATATGATTTTCCTGATATGATATGAAATTGAGCTATATTTTACGCTGAAAAATATCTGAAACTTGAAACATTTATTAAGTTTGGCATTTTTGTCGAAAACGGTGATTTTGGGCCGGTAAATCGGTTTTTTTGGATTCTTGTTTTTTTTTGAATTGGTTTTAGGCGTTTTACTTTTGTTTAGAATAAAATTAACCCGATAAATCGATATTTTTAGATTCTCCTAAAACCGAGTGTTTGAACCGTGGGGCTAAACGTCATTGAACTGTCTTTCCAGCGGAAAGTATCTAAAAAATTTGAAACATTTCATAATTTTTTTGAAAAGATTGTATTTACTTTATTTTTGTGTTTAATTTTGCTAAAGGAAAAGTTCTTTGAAGCCCCACCCCCGATAATGCCAAAGAACCCTGTAACCGCCCACCTGATGTGTCCACTTTTCAGCGGCAGCCGAGAACCCGCCAGGTCCGTATCGCTCGTTCAGAGGCACGTTCTTCTCCTTGGCCACCTTCTGCAGCGCGGCCCACAGATCAGCCGTGCGCGCGTTACCGTACTTGTGCGAGTTCAGGTAGTGCTGAAACACAAAAATGGCATTAATTCCCTCAATTTTTGAATTCTCCAAATATCACAAAAAATTCGGTGTGGCCGATTGGTTAAGCGCTCGCTCGCCACCCACATGGCGCGGGTTCGACTCCCCGGCGCGGTAAGGTTTTTGCTTTTTGCCGATTTGGTTCATTTTGGCTTTAAAGGGACCGGAAACCGACCGAGATGGCCTCCCAGAAGACGTCGTGGCCGAAGCTCTCGGCAATCATCAGCACCAGCGAGGCGCCCTTCTTGTACTGGATCGTGCCGAAACCCTCCATCACATCCACCGCTGTATCCGCCTAGAAAAAAAATGGTACTGGTCTGTTAGCGGGAACAGAAATGTTATGTTGTTTCGAAATCTCGCTTTCTCTACTCACTCACTCTCTCGCCCTCTCCCTCGCTACCTCTCTCTCTCTCTCTCTCTCTCTCTCTCTCTCTCTCTCTCTCTCTCTCTCTCGCCCTCTCCCTCGCTACCTCTCTCTCTCTCTCTCTCTCTCTCTCTCTCTCTCTCTCGCCCTTTCTCGCTCTCTTTCTGCTCTCTCGCTCGCTCTCATGCTCTCGCTCACTCTCACTCTTTCATTCTCGCTATCTCTACAGGGTGTCCCAAAAAAACCCCCCCTCGGCATTTAGCCGTCTTCCATCCGATCAGGACCAAATTTTTACCGGTGATGCGGACCCATAAAAACTATGTGCAGCCGAATTTACTAAGCAAAATATGGTAAGACAAAAAAGTTATATTGAAATTAAGGTTTATTTTGCCGATTTCACTAGGATTTTGATGGATTAGAGCCTCGAGATGTTTAGCAAAAATGAAGAGGGCACGTTTTTCCACCCGGAGGAATTTTTTGATTTACGAAAATTACGTCAAAATCGGGACTTTTCATCAATTTTTATTATCAAAACGAACAGAAACGGACCCGAAAATGACGATTTTTGGGAAAATTACTCAAAATCGGCATGCTAATTGCGAAAACATAGCCAGAAATCGGTACTAGCGTTTCCCAAAAAGCGGTTTTTTAGCGATAACTTTTTTGTATAATAATGTTTTGCTTAGAAAATTCAGCTGCACATAGTTTTTATGAGTCCCCATCGCTGGTAAAAATTTGGTCCCGATGGGATAGAAGACGGCCAAATGCAGAGGGGGGGTTTTTTTGGGACACCCTGTATGTCTTTCTCTCTTTCCCGCTCTCTCTCCCCCTCTCTCCCTCACCTGGAAATGCACAGGTTTGACGGAAGCCTTGACATCCAGGGTGAGCGCGATATCCTGTTGGTCCGCGACCAACAACTCGTCACCCAGAAGCGAGGGGTCCAGCTTGCCCATCGCGTAGAATGAGGTGTACGTGGCGAAACCCTCGTTCAGCCACAGATCGTCCCACCATTCCATCGTCACCAAGTTGCCGAACCACTGGAAATAGAGAGACAATTAGAGGGAGATAGAGAGAGAGCGAGAAAGAGAGAGAGAGAGAGAGAGAGTGATCACCTACCTGATGGGCCAGCTCGTGGGCGATCACCTCGGCGACACGACGACGGTCGGCCTCGGTATGGATCCCACGGAGGAGCACCGCCTGAAAAAAAAGTTGCTGTCACCACCCCTTTAAAACTGACCCGCTCGCGGTAGGTGACCAGGCCCCAGTTCTCCATGGCGCCGGCGGCAAAGTCGGGGATCGCGAACATGTCCATCTGAAAAACATATTTTTTGAGCCCCCAAAGACTGTCGGCTAGCCTGCCCTCTCCTCTTCCTCAACAATCTCTGCTAGCCTGCCCTCTCCTCTTCCTCAACAATCTCTGCTAGCCTGCCCTCTCCTCTTCCTCAACAATCTCTGCTAGCCTGCCCTCTCCTCTTCCTCAACAATCTCTGCTAGCGTGCCCTCTCCTCTTCCTCAACAATCTCTGCTAGTCTGCCCTCTCCTCTTCCTCAACAATCTCTGCTAGCCTGCCCTCTCCTCTTCCTCAACAATCTCTGCTAGCCTGCCCTCTCCTCTTCCTCAACAATCTCTGCTAGCCTGCCCTCTCCTCTTCCTCAACAATCTCTGCTAGCCTGCCCTCTCCTCTTCCTCAACAATCTCTGCTAGCCTGCCCTCTCCTCTTCCTCAACAATCTCTGCTAGCCTGCCCTCTCCTCTTCCTGAACAATCTCTGCTAGCCTACCTTGGCCATCGGGAAGACGTGTCCGGTGAGTTTCTCGTAGAACTCGAGGCATTTGACGGCAAACTCGACGGCGTACTCTCCCTCCTTCGCGTCCATCTTTTCCTTCCGAGCGTACACGGACACCTAATGACGTTCCATCGTAATAGCGGTGTCATCTGTACAGTACCGGAATGGTGTGACCGTCGTTGCGCTTGAATTGGCGGGTCGTCTTCTCGAAGTCGTGGATGACCAGGGCGAGCAGATAGGTGGACATCTTGGGCGTGTCGTCAAACTTGGTCATCTTCCATGCTGTGCGGTGGAATTGGATGTTCCTGAAAAAGGTAGCGTAATCAGGAAATTTAATCGCATTTAACGCCTGATTAGTGATGGGGTTATTCAAATCAAATCCGGGGTCAAATCTGAGGATTTGATTAAGCTTCCGTTTCTTATTCAAATCTCCAAATTTTTGCATGCAAAGAGTAAAAATCTATCCTTTCTTATGCTTCTGCGCTGAAAAAAAGCCCTTTTTGCGTGCTTTGCATGCAAAAATTTGGAGATTTGAATAAGAAACGGAAGCTTAATCAAATCCTCAGATTTGATCCCGGATTTGATTTGAATAACCCCATCACTACGCCTGATTAATGCCTGCAGAAATTCCGGTACTTTACTGTTAGCGGAGGTGTGATTTTGCCGGGGGGAAACCAAATTTTTCACCGGTTTTTCGGACGGCCCCGTAGTTTTAGACGATTTCTATAGCATTTTACAATGTTTTTAAACACGAAAACCTCATAAAAAAAATTGGCAAAATCTTCGAAAATCTTAGTTTTTGGTCAAAAATGTAAGAAAAATTGTTAAAAAGCGCAAACTTTCGGAATTTCAAAATTTGTAACCAATTTTTAAAGTTTACTATCAATAAAAAAGTGCTAATTATATTAAATTATAAATTTTCAATAACTAACAGGTAGCCATCGCAAAATAATAAAAATAGACTATCGATTTCGGCGATTTTCCAATGATCACTGCCAGCTCACCAAAAAGTTCGTGCTCAAATAATCACTGCTAGCCTGCCCCAATTTTTCGTGTTTTCACCTTGTTTTTGGTTGGGATAAAAATAGAAAACTTTAGAAAATGTTCAATTGGTAAATATTAATTGTACTTTTTGCGTTATCGATATTTTCGCGAAACATTTTTCTCTAAAATAATTTTTCAAAGTTCAAAAAACAATGAAACTAACTCAGTTTTTCCAGGAGCATTGGATGTGGCATTGGTTCCGATGGGATGGAGTACGGTAAGTGTCCACGTAGCTTTATAGGCGGGCTCGTCGAAGCACGGCACCATCTTCCTCGCGTCCGTCGCCTCCATTTGAGTAGTGGCGATCGTGCTACAAATTACGGATTTGGAGCGGTAAAATTAATTTCTTCGGAATGCCAGTAAAAATTATAAGAAAACCTTATACGCTTAGAAAACTCGAATTTTTTAAATTTACATTTTTTATTTGCTGGAAAAATGTAGGTTTCTTTTTTTATAAAATGTTGATGTGCCATTTTTCTGAGTAAAAATCGTTCTATAAAATTCGATTAGTATTTTGAACTTGTTAATTGATTAATTGTGTAAACACATAATTTTGCATTTTGATTAGCGAGTTCCCTACGGCAAATAGCAAAAATTAAGAAACAGAATTTTTACACCACTAAATTTATATGTTTCTTTGTACAAGGAATAAAAGGGCTTGACGACACTATTAATGAGTCTGATTCCATCAAACAACACAACACCTATAAATCGTGATTTTAACAAAATTTAGCCAAATTTAAAAAAACTCGAAAGATCACTGGAACCTTTTCCAATACGTTTCTAATTACGAAAAAATTACATGGATATATAAAGCATTTTAAAGATCGGAAAGCATATTCAAAACTTGTCTTTTTCGGCAGTTTGAAAGAAATTTGATTATTGTTGAATTCATTTAATTTCTTAAAATTTAATGAAGAAAAACGACTTCAAAAAGCGGAAAAGCTTTTCTAAAAAATTGCAAAATTCTCAGGTATCGACCGGTCCGGGCATAAACAAAATGTTTCGTATATTTTGTTATGGAATCCTGTCAATACAAAAACAATTTCGATTTAGTGCAAAAAGGTTAAAAAAAGCACCAATTTACCCATATTCAAATACCGTAAGACCCACATCTCCTTCCCCTCGGGCGACTTGTACTTGGACTTGTAGAGACCGGCCAGGCTTTCTTGCACCATTCCAGTGTAGAACAGCTGCAGCACGTAGCGGCCCCGGGTGATGTGCTTGCCGTCGGAGAAGCCGACCTTCTCCGCCTCGTTGCCCGAGCCGGTGGTGATCGTCAAGCGGCGCTGAACGGAAGTGATTAGTGAGGCCGAGATGGCAGCCGAAATTCCTTCACAATCTCTGCTAGCCTGCCCTCTCCTCTTCCTCAACAATCTCTGCTAGCCTGCCCTCTCCTCTTCCTCAACAATCTCTGCTAGCCTGCCCTCTCCTCTTCCTCAACAATCTCTGCTAGCCTGCCCTCTCCTCTTCCTCAACAATCTCTGCTAGCCTGCCCTCTCCTCTTCCTCAACAATCTCTGCTAGCCTGCCCTCCCCTCTTCCTCAACAATCTCTGCTAGCCTGCCCTCTCCTCTTCCTCAACAATCTCTGCTAGCCTGCCCTCTCCTCTTCCTCAACAATCTCTGCTAGCCTGCCCTCTCCTCTTCCTCAACAATCTCTGCTAGCCTGCCCTCTCCTCTTCCTCAACAATCTCTGCTAGCCTACCCTCCCTCTTTCCTCAACAATCTCTGCTGGTCTGCCTACCGACTGTTGTCCCGTCTGGAAGAGTGTGGCGTCGGTGATGTTGACCTCAGCCGCATTCAATTCGATGTATGTCACAGCGGCGTTTTTGACTTCCAGCTAAAAAACGCGCTTTCCTCAAGAATCCCTGCTAGCCTGCCCCCCGTACCGTAATATTGACGTGGGCGAGGATGAGGTATTCACGGGCCCCAGGGACTTTCGAGTAGTCGGTGCCAAATCCTGGCAGCATCACCGCCATCCAGGAGTCGTAGTGGATGGGGGAAATGCCGCCGGGGAGCCGTTCGCCTTCCAGGCTAAATTTTGGGTAAAGTGAAGCTTCAATGGGGTTTTAAATTTGGTTTCAAATGGGATTTCGTGGATTTTATGAATATTTGAAGTAGCAAAAAAAGGCAAACAAAAAAAATGGCCTTAAAACTTGCATCGGTACTTTTACATTATCGGGGGGAGGTAAATAGCCGAAGTGTTGCTAAGCTGCTTTTTACGTTTTATAAACGCAACAACCTTACAAATTGGCATTTAAAAAAACTTAAAATACCGGTTTTAGACCAAAATCGCGCTTTTACCAGAATTTCGACTTTTTGCAATTTTTTGTTAATTTTTAGTTAGTTTAGGTGTCTTAAAATGTTATTTTGAATTCAAATCCTTTTTACCACATTTTGCAAAGCTTGAATTTATAAAAAGCACATAAAAAAAATGTAAAATTTACGAAAATTGGTGATTTTTCGATCAAAAATTATTTCAAATGGCAAAAAGGTACACCTTTTGAAAAATTAATTTTTTAAATAGTTTTAAGACTTCATAGCAGAAACACCGATTCAAACCCCCTAGAAAATCCATTACGCGTTATTAAGAGGCGCCTTTAGTATTATTAGCTTCCCCCGCCAGCTAAGCCCCCCCCGCTAAAGGTCCAGTACCCCAAAATCGCTAAAGCGCTCAAAATTGGCTAATTTTTTTGATTTCAATAGCCCTTTAAAAGTAAGTAAATTCAAGAAATAACGAAAAATGCTTTATTCCGATTTCTCCCGCGGGTACACACGACAAACACGTGAAAAAGAGCTCACAATTAAATGGAACGCGATTCGGTTATTAATGCGTGGATTTAAGGCCAACAATTCGCTCAGGTAGTGTTTATCGTGGGCCCGCCAGGATTGGGACTCGTACTGAAACACGAGCTGTCAAAAATCCGAAAAAATGTTTCGCCAATAATTAAAAATTCTTAAATATTTTTCGACAATAATACTCGTTGCATTTTCGTTTGCACTCGCAAGTCGAGAAACGCTTAATAATGCCATGGTAAATAGTGGTTTTAGTAAAATTTAACTATATTTAAGTGGAAAACAACCAAAAAAAGTTAATTTTTTTAATTTGCCAAGTGAACTTTGGCCGAAGATCGTTGATTTTGTATTTTTTAATAAAAATTTGGTAATTTTTGGCGCCTAGCAATAATGAAAACAGTTTAGGAACGCTTCGGCTAATTATTTTAGAGAAAGTTGTCCCCCCCCCCCCCGATATTGCAAAAGAATCGGGTTCTACAAAAATGCGGCTCGCGAAAATTACAAAAATACGTTTCATCAAGAATTGAAAGCGAATTTTTTGACCTCCTGCTAAGCATCTAATTCCAATCTTGTCCTTCACTTCCCGGCCCCTTTAAAATCCCGATAAATACCGACATATGGGATGGATGGGGTTTGCCGTCATCGTAGCCGAGTTCCACCCCTTCCGGAACTTGATACTGCTCGGCGCGCGTCTTCTCACGGTCACGGTAGCTCACCCTAAAATTATGAAGGCAATAGCAGCAATTTTTGCATAAACCTTAAAGACCGTCAGAACGATGAAATTCCGTTGAGCGCAAGAAAGTTGCGCACCGGGCGGGAGTCGAACCCGCGATGGTTCGCTCCACAGTCCGACGCGCTAGCCACTACACCACAGGGCCAAGTGGGGAAGGGAGTCAGAGGCGCCCCAAACCCCAGAGGGCCTTTGCGCAGTACGGGGCACCACTAATGACGCATCTCTCCGCGCGTTCTTGGGGGCAGCACCCTCGGGGTGACAGTGCGCGTTCCATCGTTCTGGTAGTCTTTAAGACACTTCATTTTTAGGAATTTTTGCAACATTTGTTAGTACAACGTATATTCATAAAATGAAAATATAGCCTCAAGAATCAATATTTCCACCTGATCCCTTTGGACTTTTCTAATTAGCCTCAGCGGGACCCTACTATGAATTAACGGAAAACGATTTAGCTTGGATCTTTAAACTTTTCGAAACCTTTTTTCAAAAACCGCAGCTTCAAGAAAACCTACTTCTCCTCGTGAGAATCCCTGACGACGAACCAGTAAAGGGCAGCCACGATGATCACTGGAAATTAGGAATGGCAAACGGAATTGACACTTTGAAACTTCCCCAAGAATCCCTGCTAGCCCGCCACACTCACCGACAACAAGGAGGGCACAGAGGACGATGCCGATGTACGTGACGAGGTTCTGCTCGCCGGCCGTCTTGTCCTTCTCCTGAAATATTCGGTTCGTAAGAGAGCGAGAGAGAGCGAGCGAGAGAGAGCGAGAGAAAGCGAGGGAGAGAGAGAGCGAGAGAGAGAGAGCGAGAACGAGACTGAGAGAGAGGGCGTTACTCACCGCTTGCTTTCCGGCCTTCTCGGCTTCAATCGGCACCTTCGTTTCCTTCGGCTTTTTCTTCTTTTTTGCCTCCTCCTTCACCGATTTCACGGACTTTGACGATTTTTCCGATTTCTCCGACTTTTGCGATTTTTGCGACTTCACCGAGCCCTCAGAGTCATCGGCCCGCTTCGCGCCGCCGCGCTGCTTCGTCTCGCTGAGGTCCGTTTTCTAAAAAAAATGGGGTTCAGTTCTCTGTCTTGAGTCCTCCTATACCTCCGAGTGGAACTCGATGGTGGTGTCACGGTGCGACTCGCTGAAATTTGAAAAATCTGCACGTTACTGGACTCTTAGCGGGGGAGGGTTTCAAGGCTTCGACAAGAACTTCACATTCTTCAACAACCTCTGCTGGCCTGCCCTCTCCTCTTCCTCAACAATCTCTGCTAGCCTGCCCTCTCCTCTTCCTCAACAATCTCTGCTAGCCTGCCCTCTCCTCTTCCTCAACAATCTCTGCTGGCCTGCCCTCTCCTCTTCCTCAACAATCTCTGCTAGCCTGCCCTCTCCTCTTCCTCAACAATCTCTGCTAGCCTGCCCTCTCCTCTTCCTCAACAATCTCTGCTAGCCCGCTGCCTAAAATCCTAATCCAAAACTCTGCATTTCCGGTTGAAAAGGAAAGCCAATCTCGTACCCATCCTTCTGCGAACCGTCCTTGTCGTCCGGCATGGCGTAGCGTAGCAGAACAAGATGATTTTGGAGAGGAATAAACGGTTCTTCTACTCAATAATTCATGGTAATTTTGGCTGGCTGATTCAAATTTCCATAGCCAATTACGACATGAAAATATGACTTTATCTGATTTTTGGCGTGGGAGTGGCGATAGGCGGATTTGCACATCATTTTCAATGAACCAACTCACGAGAGAGAGAGAGAGAGAGAGAGAGAGCGAGGGAGCGAAAGAGAGAGTGAGAGAGAAAGCTAAAGAGTGAGTGAGTGAGCGAGAGAGCGAGAGAGAGAAGGGAGAGAGAGCGAGAGACTGAGAGAGAGAGAGAAAGAGACGATTTTTTTACGGAATTAGAACGAATAAGGCATGCTCGCAGAGATTCTTTCGGAATCCAAAGGCCGCAGGTCAGCAGAGGTGATTTGGACGTAGAGTGGTGGGTAAAATGAAAACGTTTTAGTCAATAGAGCTTTTCATCGGCAACTTTTCCTGTGATTCAGGTTTTTCAACGAAGCAGTGTTCCAAGATCAAACGAAAGGGCAGTTCCCTCACTCAAGTTTTCCTATGAAACATTTTATCTCTTTTTAGCAGTCGGGGTTCAACTTTAAAAAAAATGAGCGTTTAAAAATGGTGTTTTGATCAGAGGTTTAAACCAATAAATTTTGTAGATTTATTAATGTGACAATATTCGTCACCGCGATAGGACTTTTCGCAAAAAAAGGAAGTTTCGTCCAGGTTTGGTAGGCAGAATTCGGGCGCCAGGATATTTCTTGTATAGTACATAGCACAAACCGTCGCATTGTCGTTATAGAGGATTTTAGAAACATTACCAGCGCTGACCCCCGCTACGCGGGGTTTCAGCGCTGGCGCTCCCCCCCAAAATAAATTGAATTTGGAATTTGAATGCAAAATTTGGCTGAATTCCCGGTCGGGCGGTCGGTCGGACGGGCGTACGGACATTAGAAATCAACTATAATAATTTTCTTGACGCGTCTGTCCGTCCGAAGCCGAATTCAACTCGAAGGGGAAAAGAGCTAGACCTTAGCTCTCTTCGGATTCGGATAGAGCGTGGTCAGAAACCCCCAAACTGATAAAAAAATTACGAAAAAGTTTTAGTTTAAATTATTAAAATTAACTTTGAAAGTTTTTTCCTTAGTAAAAGGGGTGGGGGACGGAGGTTGGGCTGATTTTGGACATAGTGAGCCCGTGGCGCGCGTTTCGTGGTTGAAAATTTTCACCGGGGGATTTCATTTCTTTTTTCTCTCATTCCATCCGGTCGGTCGTTATTTTTGTTTTTTTTTAAACGGATTTCGGCTAGGGGAGGTATCTAAAGCCATCAGAAAGGTATTTAGGTAGTTTTTGAAGGGGATTTCAGCCATGGGGGGTATCTGAAGCCATCAGAAAGGTATTTAGGTAGTTTTTGAAGGGGATTTCAGCCATGGGGGGTATCTGAAGCCATCGGGAAGGTATTTAGGTAGTTTTTGAAAGGGATTTCGGCTAGGAGAGGGTCTAAAACCGTCAGGAAGGTATCGAAGTAGTTGGTGGAAGCAGGTATATAGGTAGGTGTATTACATGGAGGGTAACCCGAAGGCCAGATGGTTACAGTCGCGAAGCGACTGGAACCATCTGGTTTATATATAGTAGATTTATGGCACCAGGCTGTCCTTCTCTCTCTCTCTCTCTCTCTCTCTCTCTCTCTCTCTCTCTCTCTCTCTCTCTCTCTGTATATCGGTGTCCATGTCCCTTTAAAGCTCCGTCATACCCCTGCCCTTTCAATTTATTTTTAGCTATTTCTGCCCGTGGACTTTTCAAGATATTTTCAGAAACTCTTACAAGCACATTATGCTTCCGCTCGCTCTCTTTATGACTAATTTTCATGAAACACATCGATGTTGGCCAGCCTCAGTTTGGTTGTTTTTTATTTGTCTTCTGTATACCTTTAAAAACTATTTCCGTCTCTTTATTTTTCAAAATTTCGCCGCTGAAATTCTCGAGTGTAGCAGAGTTTTTTGTGCGAAAAAATGTTTAGTCAAACGGTTTATATAATTTTTAATATTTTGATAGAATGGGAATGAAGTCGTTCGTCTTTATCAGATACAAAAAAAAATTGAGCTTTTTGTGATGAAAGCAAGCATAATATTGTAGCGTTAATAAGAATATATAAAATAACCCTGGCCGTCTCGTTAGCTTATAGGCGTCGGGCATTTTTGAGATTTTTGCTGGCTTAACCTGAAATTATGCCTTGGTAAAAGATGGAGGGTAACAAAAAAGAGAAAAACAACAATACAATACTATACACATGAAATCACAAACACCCATATGCAAATTTGGCCTTAAAGGCGTGGGAAACCTGGCTTTTGAACAAATAATTAAAAAATAAACAATTTTTGGAAAATTTAAAAAGCTTGTTTCATAAATCCTCCGCATAATCAAGGAAAAAATATATGATTCGGGCAAATTCCATTCCACAAGATAACCCAAATAAATTAATTTACGCAAAATTGCCCCTTCCGTTCATTTTATTAATTATTCAGCCCGTTTTCTTCATTTATACTTTAATTTAAATATTGATTTCTTTTTTGCAATGTGCTTTTCTATTCGGCTTTTTTCTAAAATTAATTCCCGAGGGAATAACTTGCAAATTTGCTCCTAATTTGCTAACAAAACTTTTACATCTTAAAAAAATGTGTTTCATAAAAATCACAGCCAGCGCCAAATTTCGATCATCTCAATGACGCAGTAAGCCAATCCCTTGGCCTTCCTTTGAATTTTTTCAGTTTTTCATTCATTTCACAAAAAATGTATCATAAAAACCTGCTATTCGGGCTGCCTGATTAAATCTTCTTGGGTGGCAAATTCCGAGTTTACATGGTTATTGGCACTTTTTAGGCGGTTGGGGATGGGGACCCACCGGAGGACGGCGATACGGTAGTCGCGTATAAAATATATCATTACTAGCGGCTCCAGGGTACAGTACACTCCAAATGACACCGTGACAAAGGTTGTATCGACTGATAGGTGGAAAATTGGGCAGATGAGGACGATACCGCTTGGGATGTAGAGGCAGAAGACAGGGATTACCGTCTGAAAACGTCAGAAAAATATTTGAAGAAACTAGCCTGCCCTCTCCTCTTCCTCAACAATCTCTGCTAGCCTGCCCTCTCCTCTTCCTCAACAATCTCTGCTAGCCTGCCCTCTCCTTTTCCTCAACAATCTCTGCTAGCCTGCCCTCTCCTCTTCCTCAACAATCTCTGCTAGCCTGCCCTCTCCTCTTCCTCAACAATCTCTGCTAGCCTGCCCTCTCCTCTTCCTCAACAATCTCTGCTAGCCTGCCCTCTCCTCTTCCTCAACAATCTCTGCTAGCCTGTCCTCTCCTCTTCCTCAACAATCTCCGCTAGCCTGCCCTCTCCTCTTCCTCAACAATCTCTGCTAGCCTGCCCTCTCCTCTTCCTCAACAATCTCTGCTAGCCTGCCCTCTCCTCTTCCACAACAATCTCTGCTAGCCTGCCCTCTTCTCTTCCTCAACAATCTCTGCTAGCCTGCCCTCTCCTCTTCCTCAACAATCTCTGCTAGCCTGCCCTCTCCTCTTCCTCAACAATCTCTGCTAGCCTGCCCTCTCCTCTTCCTCAACAATCTCTGCTAGCCTGCCCTCTCCTCTTCCTCAACAATCTCTGCTAGCCTGCCTCTCCTCTTCCACAACAATCTCTGCTAGCCTGCCCTCTTCTCTTCCTCAACAATCTCTGCTAGCCTGCCCTCTCCTCTTCCTCAACAATCTCTGCTAGCCTGCCCTCTCCTCTTCCTCAACAATCTCTGCTAGCCTGCCCTCTCCTCTTCCTCAACAATCTCTGCTAGCCTGCCCTCTCCTCTTCCACAACAATCTCTGCTAGCCTGCCCTCTTCTCTTCCTCAACAATCTCTGCTAGCCTGCCCTCTCCTCTTCCTCAACAATCTCTGCTAGCCTGCCCTCTCCTCTTCCTCAACAATCTCTGCTAGCCTGCCCTCTCCTCTTCCTCAACAATCTCTGCTAGCCTGCCCTCTCCTCTTCCACAACAATCTCTGCTAGCCTGCCTCTTCTCTTCCTCAACAATCTCTGCTAGCCTGCCCTCTCCTCTTCCTCAACAATCTCTGCTAGCCTGCCCTCTCCTCTTCCTCAACAATCTCTGCTAGCCTGCCCTCTCCTCTTCCTCAACAATCTCTGCTAGCCTGCCCTCTCCTCTTCCTCAACAATCTCCGCTAGCCTGTCCTAAAGTTTACCCACCTGAACTACGAGCGCCCTAAATATTCCCATCTGACGTTGACGAATTCGCGTGCTCATCGTGGCTTCCTAGAAAATCCAAATTTTAGGCTTTTGTTGTATTTTTGTATTGCTGGTGCTGTATTATAAAACAACAACCGGCATGAAAATTCAGAACGAAATGTTGCTTTAGAAAGGACCGACGAAGGCGCAAATTAAGGCTAATCATATTTCCGAAAAGTGGCAAAAATTTGAAACATTGGAATATTTTTAAGCTTCTAATTTTTACAGTTTCAAATTAATTTCATTGAGTTCAATTAAATGTTAGTTGGATTTATCTTAATTAATTTTAGCTAAAACAGAGATTGCTACTTTAGCTTTGGTTAAATTGAATTCTTACGCCAGCATCGCCTACCCTTAAAGTGCGCAGAATGGCGCGGCCGCAGAGCAAAATCACGATAAATGAGGAGACGATGAAGAACATGCAGATTGAAAGGCCGCACCAGGACTTCCAATTCGCGATGCCGTCAATCTGGAAAAAGGGTAAATATTTTTTTGAAAAGTCCATTGTAAGACGGAATTTGCTGTTTGTCCACAGCGTTCTGTTTTCAAACACGTTTTTCGTTTAAACATTTTGAAATTTAGCGTGCAACAAAAATATATTCGTACCGCATTGAGGCGCCGGTTATCACGCATCCAACCCGAACTTATGAAACATTTGAAAAATCAAAAGTAAATCCCAACAAATCGGAGCGGCATAAAATGATTTTGAAGGACCTACAAAATAAACGCCTCCTAGGGAGACGATCTCATCGATGCTGTGCTGGAAAGTGCGGGAGAACGGATGTCGGAAGGCGTCTTTTACCTAAAATCAAGTGAATTATTATGCTCAATTTTGCTTTCTTCGAAAAAAAGTTGTTTCGGTTTTAATTGGGAGTGAAGAGAAGCGAATTTATTGTATTTTAAAGGTACTTATTTGCTTTAATAAAACATACAAGAAAGAAAGAAAGAAAGTGGGTTCTTTGGCGTTATCTGCGGGGGTGGGAGCGAACTTTTTTTGTAAGAGTCAAGAAATGCCTTTTAATTAATTTGGAAATTTTTTAATAGCGTTTTTAGTAAAATAAAACTATTTCCACTAGAAAAACTAACCAAAAACTTTTAAACAAATTCAAAAACGAATCGAAATTTGGTCAAAACGGCCATGTTGGCCGAAAAATCGTTTCTTGTTTTGTTTTTGGTTTCTTGAATGTTTCGATAAAAATTTGTAACGTTTTTACCTTCAGAAAGAGAAAAACATTTCCAAAATCCTGCAAACTCCTCCCGATAAAGCGAAACAACCGAAATCGGCTAATAGTGACGAAATCAAAATTTTTTTTGTTTCAGTTATTTTTAGAATGAAAAACCATATGGTCGTGTTTAAAATTTGAGCAGGAAAAGGCTAGATAGCAATTTAGAAGGCAAAAATCCGTGTAAAAAATGTAAAAAAACCGACCCTCGCGTCTTCAAACAGGGATATGACGACATTTGCTCCGTATCCACCTCCGAACAGCAAATACAGTACCACCATCCCGGCGATAACTTGCCACCTTGTCAGCGCGTTCAGCCATTCGATCCTCAAAAAAATTATGTTTTGTTCACACCCAATAACTCAGGCGGGGTGCATATAATAATTCAGATGTGCATTAATCGACGATGATTGACTAGCCGATCATCAATCAAACTTAAAAATTAAGCCTTGTGGCAGAATAATTTTTCGAAAAGCACGTTTCACAAAATATGGTGCGAAAAATTTCGCATTGAGGATACAGTCCGGTGTTGAATTTTTTCTAAAAAACTGGTTTTTATTGCATAAAATTATTAAAATAAACAAAGATTCGTTTTAAATTGATTTAAAACTTAAAACTTAAAACTTTACTTCGACTTTTTTTCTTTTTTTCTACTTCGAAAAGTTTAAAAAGCTATATGTTTTTTGATTTTCGAAATTTCTAAAGTTTTTACGTTTAGCAATAATAATATTAGATAACCTTGATATTAAGAAAAGACGGGTTTGCAAATTAAAAAATCTGTATCCCCCAAAAATAAGTTTCATAATATTTTGCTGTGCACGAACGGGCGAAGCGATTAATTAACATCCGGAACATGGTCCTAAATCCACAAAAAAACTCACTGGCAAATTAACGCATAACGGTAAATGAAGTGGAAGCAGAGCAGCACCAGCGACTGCGCGTACGCCGAGGCGTACACGAACAACCCGACTGCTGACAACTCTTTCGAGTCGGACACCGGCCCGGTGGTGAACATCACGAAACCGTAGCCGTCGCAGAAGATTATCTACCAAAAATCGGAATAAAAGGCTTTTTTCAAATTGTTTGCCTTCGAATCTTAGCTTTCAAGCTCCCTGAAAAGCTCCAAAATGGTCTCTGCTAGCTAGCCGGGGGCGCCAAAATTCCTCAACAATCTCTGCTAGCCTGCCCTCTCCTCTTCCTCAACAATCTCTGCTAGCCTGCCCTCTCCTCTTCCTCAACAATCTCTGCTAGTTACCCACCGGATGCGTGGCGAGATGCAGAGCCGTGAATAAAATATTGAATAGCGAGAATATAGCCATTAAACTGGCATATGGTCCCATATGCCTGGGTGTATGATGGTGAATTAAATGGCATAATATAGCGTTTGCCACCCATGACAATACAGCATTCACCAACACGACGATCGTCCAGATCCCTTCCGGGCTCTCGATCATTAGTGCGGCGACGGGGAGCTTGGAGCTAATATCTAGAATTTTTACGGTTAGCTTCTAAAGATGCAGGTCGTCGAAAGCAGAGAGGCATTATCGGCATTTGGAACGCAGGGGATATGTAAAAATACGAAACATTCTTTTTCATGTTTAGTTTATTTTAAAGAATAAGCCGCTATTATTTCCTTTTATTAATTATTTATATTTGGAACAAAGAAATGTCTAAAATAAACATTTTTTCTGGTTTTAGTATTTATACGGCATAAATCGTCAAATAAACCTGAAGAATTAGCTTCTTTTGAACACCGAAATATTTAATGTAAAAATACGAAACATTGTTTTCTAGATTTTATATTTTTAAAGAATAAGTCGCCAACCAAAGAAGAAATAGCTATTTCGAAAAACAGAAATAATTAAAAATACAAAACAGTCTTTTTCTAGTCTGGGTATTTTCACTATTTTTCATATATAGTAGGATCTGCACAAAATAATAGGAATTATATATATTACAAACACAGAATTAATTAAAAGGGAGATTCTGAGCTGCTAATATCAGGAAATTTTGCGCTCCGATTTTAAAGTTAGTATGCAGCGAGACCAATCAGAGAAAATTATCAGATCATGCACCATAGGAGGTTTTGAAAAATATGAAACATCATTTTTGTGAAGCGTTGCTTTTCCGAAGTTTCTTTGAATCCCCGAGCTCCTGGTGCATGGGCGAAACATACTTTACTACTAAAGTTTAGCAAAGTGGCCCGTTTAAACAAACGCAACACAGTTTCTGAACCCTAAATATGCAAAAAGTTTTGCAGAACAAACAGTAACTGCTGGCAGTTCACTTTGGAAAAAATGTTTTGAGATAAAACGTCTTGTTTTTCGAATCGAACTTTTTTCAATAGGTCCAGAAATGTCTAGCAACTTGATGGGAAGGTTTCAATAATGTTTTTTGTAACATATAACTATATTTCAACTATACAAACTTTTAAAACATTGAAAACACCTAAAGTTTTGTGGAAAATCGCCATTTTTGGTCGAAAAATCGTTATATTGGCATTAATTTTTGATAAAAATTTGTAAAGTTTTTGCGTATAGAACAGTAAAAATATTTTCAAAGCACGGCAGGTATTTATAATCGAAAAATTAGATCCTAATAACAAAAAGTTTGTCCCCGCGATAATGCGAAAATCACGTTTCAGCCATTTTCCAAGGAAAAGAAACGTTTCAGCTATGGATTTCATCACGTAGGTGATTACCCCTCTGCTGAGAGGCCAAGCGTGCGTGCGCGTTGCAGTGCGCGTTCCGGAAAATCCCGTAAATCCATACCCCAAAAAATCCAAAAGCCAGCCCAAGCCTTGCGAATCCCTTTAGAATGGGTGCACGGGGCCCTCGGGGAAAAATGAATGAATCCGGGCCGGAAAGTACCTGTTTACCCCGAAAAAGTAATACTCCACATGATGGCGCCATTTTGGCCATAGTAGCCGCGCGGAAATTCACTTTGCCCCCCGATCGTGTGGCCTGAGTAAGGGGCAAGGAATTAATTCAGCTTAAAAATAGACTGCACCCAACAGTGGTGGCTGGCCGAGCGGTTTTTTGGTCTCGCGGTGAACCGGAAGCGCCACGGGGGGTAAAATTGCTGCTGGCCGGCGACCAAAATTACCCAACACACGCGCGGCATCCAGATGATGCCCTCGGGATGGAGGGGAGGGAAATGTAAATATGAAATTTTGGCATCCGGAGACTCGACTAGAGGATGGGGACGTAGCGTAGCGGAGGTTTTTGAGGAATGGCAAACTAGCAGAGATTGTTGAGGAAGAGGATAGGGCAAGCTAGCAGAGATTGCTGAGGAAGAGGAGAGGGCAGGCTAGCAGAGATTGTTGAGGAAGAGGAGAGGGCAGGCTAGCAGAGATTGTTGAGGAAGAGGAGAGGGCAGGCTAGCAGAGATTGTTGAGGAAGAGGAGAGGGCAGGCTAGCAGAGATTGTTGAGGAAGAAGAGAGGGCAGGCTAGCAGAGATTGTTGAGGAAGAGGAGAGGGCAGGCTAGCAGAGATTGTTGAGGAAGAAGAGAGGATCAACGAAACATGTTGTCTTTTGCGGGTGACATTTTCGAAGGCTATACTTTCCCCTGGGTTACGGTGGGCCGTCAACAGCTGTTCATCAAAAATCCGGTAATCACATGTTCCGCCCCGGTCAATATGGAATGAGTCGGAAAGTACAGACTTTTGGTCTCTCTCTGTCTCTCTATCTATCTCTCTCTCGCTCCCTCTTTCGCCGACATCTGTACGTCCCTCTATATCAACATTTCCGCAATGTATACCTAGCGTGGCGTAGTTTGTAGCATAATAAAAATCTAACAGGAACAATAGGGCGAACCCCGCTTGTGAAATCAAAACAGTCACGCCATTCATATAGCAAGTCCTAGCCACGCCTTGAAAATTTTTGAAACACATTTTCGGCGCGACCGGAAAATTGGTCCCATTTTTTGTTCAAAAAAATGTTTCTACTTTGTTCTAATCTAAGAAATGCTGCGCGGCTCGAATAACAATTCGTCGAGTTTTTCATTTTTAATAGATCTTTATAATCGATTTTCGAATAACAATAATTTGTGGAAACATGGACGTTTGCAACTAATTACCGCAAGTCTTTATTTAGCCTTTTCAGGCTTATTACTTTCAAATATTCATTTTTGACATTAAAAAAATTAAATTATTTTTTTAAAGTCAGCAAGATATTTACTGGGGAAAGGCTCGTGTTATTTTATTAACTTTGTGCTTAAATCATACTTTTTGTAAAGAATTTCGACCTTCCATCTTCCTTTAAATACGCGAGACCGAAACACTTCTGAATCAAAGCTTCCGTGTATTTTCTCTCTATTGAAACGTCCGTTTTTCCCTGAATCCGAAATTTTTGGTGCCTGGAAAGAGAGCATTTTCAATCGCTTTGAGGTGTTAAATGTCGTTACTTGGAATCGAGCCTGACAATTGCGCACGAAAAATTCTAATTACCCATTTCCGGTCGGGGGGGACCATATAAACAAGGGGGGTAGCGAGTCCGCGAGTACCCAATTTACGGCCCGATCATTTCCACCTAGCACCCACCCCACGCAAAGGGATTTCATCAAAAATCAAGGATTCTTGAGTATCAAATCTAGATGGAAATTAGAAAGTACAAATCTGAGAGTTTTAACACCTATAAAAATGACCAGAAAATCGTCATCAATTTTGCAAAAATATGTTTCGAAAATATGTGATATTTTGGCCCTTTTAAAATGGTGTAATGGTTTACTCAGAAACCAGCTTGCTAACACGCCGCCTAGATTTCCTCAAAGATTGCTGCTGGCCTACCTTTTCCTAAATTTCCTAGAGGATCTCTGCTAGCCTACTCCCTCTCAATTTCGCAAAAAACCTCTACTAGTTTCCCTTGTGGCTACAAACTTCCTAAAGAATCTCGGACAAGAAATGTCAATAAAGAATTGTTTTTATGCTTTGGGTGATTGGTCCAAAAACCGCCTCTTTGTTGGCCTATGGCCAGTGAGAGAATTTCTGGCCCCCGAAAAAGAAAGAGTGTTTCAAAAAGCGGGGAACACGCGGCATAAAGAGCAAATCCAATTTGCTGGCCAGACTCGGGTGGGCGCTGGCCGCTGCAAAAAGCGCTCAAATATCGTAGGAGGAAGGAGGAGGACGAGCTCATTAAAAACTAGAGAATAGCTGGTTGGCTCAAAAATCAGGAATATTAAATGACAGATTAAAGGCACCTGGAAGCCAAACAAAACAAAAAAAGCTGGAAATTCTCTAAGGATCGCTAGCTCTTTTCTCTTATTTATTCTCTAAGCTAGCTAAATTTTAAAAATAATTTTTTTGACTTGGCGCATTAAGGGGAGCTGTATTTAAAGGGAATTTTTCAATTAAATTTCAATCAATTAAATTTTGGATTAAAGGCACAGAAACAACTTTAAAAATTAAGTTTTTCGCCTTTAAAATTCCTCAAAAATCCCTGCTAGCTTGCTCCAAACCAGAAGTTTTTGTAGTAATTATAGCTCCTCTTAAAGGACCCTGAAAGACAAAAAAAACCATAATTCGAAAGACGCTTTAAAAATCAAAATCCCCCGATTGCTCTCTGTTAGCAAGCCAATAAACGAATTTCTTGCAATCCCCAAAATCCCTGCTAGTTTGCTCGCAACGAGGATAATAATTATGTTTTGACACATTAATGAAAAGCGAAAAATAAATTCTCCGAAACTGGTAAATCGATCGAATTCACTTTTAAAAAATGTGTTTCAAACCGATAATATAAGAAATTGTTTGAACTCCCGACAATTTGACACGGGTCCATCTTTGATTATTTAAAAATCAAATTACGCTTTGACGCAATAATGACAAATGATAATAAATTAAAAAATTCAGGGTAATAGATCGAATTGACTTTTAGAAAATGTGTTTCAACCAAAAAAATGTACGAAATTGTCCGAATCTTTGATAATTCAACCTCCATGCAGGGTTTTTTTGAAAATCAAACTATGCGGTTACGCGTTAATGATAGATCAAAATAAATTAAAAACTGCCGGACCGTCGATGGATTTCACTTTAAAAAATGCGTTTCAACCAGAAAATGTCAGAAATTGTCCGAGCCCTATGCAATTGGATTATGGTTGCATGTTTTCTTGTTTAAAAATGAAATAACGCTTTGAAAATTAAATTAAAGCTAATGAAAAATCAAAATAAATTAAAAAAGGTGGGATTTGAATTTAAAAAATGTGTTTCAGACAGAAAATGTAAGAAATTGTCCGAACTCTCTACAATTTTACTTGTTGTCCCTATTTTATTCATTAAAAACCAGGGTTGAAAAACCGCTTCGCGGCTTTTCAACCCTGGCCCCGTCTTCTCCAATGATATTCTTGGCTTTGCATAATTTTCCCGGATTCGGATGACAAAATGAAAAATGCTCTTGCCGTCCCCTTATATAGGCTACCGCGACTTCCGGTGCATGCTAATTTGATCCTAACAAAGTGGGTTGTCCGATTTTCCATGAAAAACTTAATTTTAATGTCGAAAACATCATAGTTTGTAAAATCTAATATGCGTGCAGCCGTTCCCAGGCCATTACGCACCGAATGACGTATCGAACATACCCCTAAGTACTTCCCTCCTTGAGATACGACTGGAACAACCTGACGGAAGTTGCATGCAAATGCACACACACACACACACAGGAACTATTTTTTTATATATAGTAGGATGTTTAGGCACTACCTGCCTTCTAGCTTTCTGAAAATATGGAATAACGAACTTGAGTCTGAGAACACGGCTCCAAAATGAGGCCGGAAACCGGAAGCACGGTAAAAACCACCGGCTCCGGAAACATCAGGTGTACTTCCCCCAAACAATGCCCTCGAACCACGGACCCGGGCGGCTATTTAGAAACGAGGATCCTGAAATATTTAGTGGGCTTTTCAGTCCGGAAATGGCCCAGAAATGCGCGTGCCAAAGGCATAGAAATTTGCCAAGTTTGGGAAAAAGGTCTTGAGAAAAGGGATGGAAAAAAATTGAGAGAAACCGCTGGCGGGGATTTGCCATTGAAAATTGCTAATTTTTCAAAAGCCACCCGCGGGTAGGTACACCGCGAAATAAATGTGTTTCGGAAAAAATAGTGAAGAAATACCCTAGAACGAGGATAATCCTTGCTACTTTGCGCTCGAAAGTTTTTTCTTTTTAAGCTTAGCTTAGGTTCGCTTTTATTTGCGACGTAAGAGGACTGATGAGATCAGGCTTAGGGTTAGGCTTAGGGATAGCTTCAACTTAGGCTTCGGCTTAGGCCTACGTTAGGATTAGACCGAGGCTTAGGCTAAGGATTAGGCTTAGGCTTAGACCTAGCTTAGGTTTAGTTTAGGCGCGGCTAGGACTTAAGCTTAGGCTTGATTAGGTTTAGCTTAGGCTCTAAGTTTATTGTTAGCTTGGGTTTAGTTAGACTTAGGCTTAGCTTAGGCGAAGGCTTAGGCTTAGGCCTAGGCTTAGGCTTCGCTTGGGCTTAGGGTTAGCTTAGGCTTAGGACTTTTCCGCTACCTTTGAAAACCACAAGAATGGAGTCGACAAATGTATCACATGCCACGGCCTAGTGGCCAGGAAGGGGGGATTTGTTACGAATAATTCAAAAGACCCCCCGGGCTGCCCTGGGAACTTTTTGCCGCTTTTGCCTTTTAAGAACTGGGCCCCTATGGCCCTCTTAGTGCCCTTAGGGGCCAACACCAGACCGGAAACCACAGCCCCTAGGTTTGTTCGATGAACACTTTCGACAACCCGGATGTCCGGCCGATGACCTCTGGCCGGTAGACCGGAAAATGACGATGAAAATTGAAGGTAAAATGGCAGGCTAGCAGAGATTATTTGGGAACAATCTCTGCTAGCCTGCCCTCTCCTCTTCCTCAACAATCTCTGCTAGCCTGCCCTCTCCTCTTCCTCAACAATCTCTGCTAGCCTGCCCTCTCCTCTTCCTCAACAATCTCTGCTAGCCTGCCCTCTCCTCTTCCTCAACAATCTCTGCTTGCTTGCCCAATCCAAAATTCCTGAAGTTCACAATTTCCCAAAATTTCCTTATTATCCTTTGAATAAAATTTACCTAGGACTTTACCGGAAATGGTTCGAAATTTTACTCTGAGAGTTCATATTTGAATGCGAAAAATTTTGGCTCGTTGTTCGAAGTTTCCCGCTTCTTCCTTCTATCTCTTTTTTTTGAAGATGTCTGAAGCGAAGGTTCGTTTTCTGTCTCTCTCTCCTATCGCTTGCTCATTCTCTCCATCTCTCTCTCTCTCCCTCTCCCTCTCCCTATTAATCTATCGCCTGTTTCCAGAAAGATGGTGAGCTCGAGAAGACGTGCAACAGCTCGACGGAGAGCTCGCAGCTGGAGCCGGAGCCCGAAAAAGAAGACGTGCAGCCGTCAGTGCCGCGGAAGGCCGACAAGCCGGCCGGAATGGGCGGAATTATGGCAGGTTTTGAGGGCAGGCTAGCAGGGCATTGTTGAGGAAAATCGATGATATTCTGATTTCCACGGTCTCCAACTCCCCGAAGGGATGAAGCTCCCGACGGCCGCCGACTTGCCGCCCGAGCCGCCGCAGGAGAAGGAGAAAGAGGTACAGAGCTCGCTCTCTCGCTCTCTCTCTCTCTCTCTCTCTCTCTCTCTTTCGCTCCACCCCGATTTTTCAGAAAGAAGCACCCAGCCCTCCTCGCGGGCGCACCAAGAAGAGCCGCGATGCGAGCCGCGACAACACCAAGGAGGCCAGCAAGGAGGCCAGCAAAGAGGTCAGCAAGGACGACGAGAAGGCCATCGAAGCGCCGATCGAGTCGGTGAGGGAGAAGAAGAAGAAAGAGGTCGAGAAGCCGGAGCGGTCGACGAGGCGAAGGCGTTCGACCCCCGACGGCGAGAAGGACAAGCCGAAGCCCGAGAAGCCGGGCCGCGGCTGATAATGTGGTGAGGGTGTAGAAATGGTAAAATGAAAAAAATAGAAATAAGTATAGAAACTAAAAAAATAATAGAAAATGAAAATAAAAAGTTCCAAAAAATTAATTTTTGATCAAAAATGCTTCAACAATTATCAAAATTAGCACTTTTCTAGATTAAATTAAAAATAGCGGAATTCGGCCCACTAATAGCAAATTTTTCAGGAGAAGAGCGGCAAGCAGAAGAAGCCCAAGAAAAAGAAGTCCAAGAAGAAGAGCAAACAGGCCGACCCAGACGCGGCCTGCGAAGAAAAGTCCGGCAGGGCCAGCAAGGACAAGGAGTCCGCCGAAAAGTCTGACCGCCACGTCCGCAAGAAGGTCAGCAGCTCTCTCTCTCTCTTTCTCTCTCTCTCTCTCTAATTCTCTCGCTTTAGGGTACCGCCCCGAAGATCAAAGACAAGGATGAGCAGCGCCGTCCCGACCAGCAGGAGCTCGAGAAGAACGCCGCCTTCCGCGAGAAGCTCCAGAAGGCCTACAACTTTCTGTGGGTCTGGCGGTCGCATCCTCAATAATCTCTGCTCGTGCGCCAGAACCCGTATTTCCAGGGTGCAAGAGCCAGACGCATCGGTGGCGGGGGCCCTCTACTACCACGGCTACGCCGAGCCGTCCTACGTGCGCGAGCGTCTCGGTAAGATCGGAGAGTACCTCCTGTGCAAGATCTACCGCGAGGTCGACAACAAGGGACGCATCATCGAGGTATGGTTTGAAGTTCACTTTTAATAGCCAAAAACATAAAAACTTCGACATTTCTATTGCGAACCGCAAGAAAATGATGTTACAACTTTGTTTAGAAAACCCAAGATTTTTTCACCACAATTTTCCAGGGTTTTCCAAGTTTTCTAATTCGTTTCCCATTTTCAAAAATAATTATTTTTTCATGGGTGACTTCAATATTTTCTATTACTTGTGGAGAAAAATAAAAAAGGTCTCGAAAAGATAAAAATCTAGAAATTTCATACAGAACTACAAAAAAACATGTTTCGACAACAATTATCCGAAGTTCGCCCAAAAATAAGATTAATTCCTGTTATCTTTGTATCTCCGAAACGGTTGATTTGATATTAGCTAATTTAATTTAATTAAGAATCGCATTTTTACAAAAAATTGTCTTTTTCGAGCCAAAAACCATCAAAATTTCGAATTTTCCATATTTTCAAAAGTTTTTCGACCTTAAATTTAGGCGAATTTTACTAAAAACAACTTGAAACTTTATTTTTCCTTACTACAACACCCTGGGGAATGTTTGATTTTTTGTTTTGATTGAACTTAGTTTTAATTTTTTTTAATTTTTAAAAATTTCCCGAATTCTAATTCAGCTGAACCTCTTAAAAAACTTTGTTTGCAGCTGCTGTGCATCGCGCTCCACGGCCCCTCCGAGATCGGCTACTTCACGATCATGATCGGCCCCAACAAACAGTTCTTCCTCGGCACCAAGGGATTCGACAACATCAGTCCGTCCACCGCCTTAATTTACCCTAGTTTTTTGAACTTTCAGACCAGCTCGTCTCCCACTTTGCCAGCACCGGCGAGCCGCTGCCCAACAAGGACACCGCCGAGGCGTTCATCATGCGCAAGTCGTCGCTGCGACAGGTGCGGGCAGGCTAGCGGGGATTATTGCGGAATTCTGGATCCTAAACTGAAAAATGATTTTTCCAGAACGAGCTCATCGCCCACGAGCAGGTGACGCTGAAGGAGGAGGTCGGCGCCGGCGAGTTCGGCGCCGTCTACAAGGGCATCTACACGGGGGTGCGTCGAGTTGCAACGTCCCCTGAAGCTCATGCTCAATTCCAGGAGAAGGAGCCGATCACCGTGGCCGTCAAGTCGCTGAAAGATCTGCTGTCGTCGGACCCGGTGAAGAAGCAGAAGTTCCTCCTCGAAGCCTACATCATGATGAAGATTCGGTGCGGTTTGGAATTTTGAATTTTGTTTTTAATTTTTAAAAATGTTAAAAATGTTACAAAATTAAATATTTTCAGATTTAAAAATTTTCAAAAAGTTTTTCCCTTTTGCTCATTTTTGATACATTTTTTTACCAAAAAATCCAAAAATTTCGAACTGTTGAAATTTTAAATTTGTTTTTATATCTAAAAAGATGCTATAAAAATGGTTTATTTTGTTACCAGGGTTGAAAAGCCGCTTCGCGACTTTTCAACCCTGGCCCCGTCTCGGACCCCATACTATTCTGCCCTTTGCATACTTGTCCTTCATTCAGAAGACAAAAAATAATGAAAAACAACCCCTTCTGCCTCTTTATATAGACGACCGCCCACTTCCGCTCTATGCTAATTATTCCTAACAAAGAGGTTTTTACAAAAACCTAAATTTAATGTCGAAAACAGCTAATTTTGTAAAATCTGATATGTGTGCAGTCATCTCAAGACCGTTGCGCACCTAAAGACGTATCATACGTAGCCTAATACCCGTTCCTTCTTGAGATATCCCCCGGACAGACAGACGGAAGTGGATGCAAAGTGGCACACACAGACACACAGACACTATTTTTTTTTATAGATTTGTTATAGGGCCGTAGAAAATCAGAGAGAAATTGGTTCCCCCTCTCCGCTAACAGTCGAGTACCCCGCAAAAACGCCGCCATTTTTCAGCCCGCACAAGAACATCACGCAAATCTTCGGCATCTGCACGCTGAAGAACCCGCTGTACATCGTGCTCGAGTTCATGCCCAAAGGCTCCCTAAAATCGGTACGATTTACCTAGCGTAATCGAATCCACCCGCCTCATTTTTGCAGTACCTCAAGAAGACGAAGGACGTCACCGACGAGGCCAAGCTCAGCATGCTGCTCGGAGCTGCCGCCGGACTCGCACACCTCGAAGAAGCCGGCATCGTGGGGAGCTTGGGCGTTGAACGGCTTGAGCATGAGCCTAGAGTTGTTAAGAGCCTAAAAATAAAATCACAAAACATCAATAAAAAAAACGAAACATTTAGGTGCACCGGGACATTGCCGCCCGGAACTGCCTGATGGCCGTCGACGGGTCGGTCAAGATCAGCGACTTTGGGCTGTCGATGGAGGAGAAGGTGCTCAAGAACAAGTCCACCAAGCTCGAGCCGGTCCCGTTGCCCACCAAGTGGCTCGCCCCGGAGGTGAGCACCAGCTTCGGCTCCCTAAATGGTTTTTTCTGATCCAAAATGTAAAAAACTAACGGTTTTACTTTCAAAAAAATTCAGAAAAAACGAACAGTTAAGTTTTAAACCTTTTCCAAGTTTTCTAAATAGTTTTTGTATAAATTAAATATAGCTATTTGTTTTATCAAGAATACTAAAAACCACTAGTTGACAAGGAAATCTTAAAAAAAGAGATTTTTCGACAAAATTTCAAATGTTACGCATTTTCTGCGTTTTATAAATAGCTCTCCGCTTGCAATATAGCTACATTTCATCAAAAACACTAAAAAAAACACTTGTTTTTACAGGACAAAATCAAAAAAATAGCTCTTTCAACAAAATTTCAAATTTTAAGCTTTTTCTACGTTTTATAAATCGCTTTCCGCTTGAAATTTGGCTACATTTCATCAAAAATACTAAAACGACAAATTTTCATCACGAAAAGAAAAAAAAATAACGGTTTTTTAAGCAAAATTACAAATTTTTAACATTTTCCAATGTTTATAAGTCATTTTTCTACTTAAAATATAGCCAAACGTTAGCAGAAATCTGATCAAAATCGAAATCCGATCGAAATCCGCAAAATGCGTTCACCGGGGCCCGTTTTGCAGGTGCTGAAGCACTACAAGTTCTCGGTGAAGAGCGACGTGTGGGCGTTTGGCGTCATGATCTGCGAGGTGTACACGAACGGCGGCGACCCGTACCCCGGCATGACCAACAAGGAGGTCAAGAAGCTCATCCTCGAGACAAAGGGCCGTATGCCCGTGCCGAAAGAGGTAGTTGGAAACATTGGAAAACCTTAAAAAAATCCCATGTTTAGTGCCCCAAGTACATGCACAAGGTGCTGGACAAGTGCTGGGCTGAGGCGCCGCAGGACCGGAAGTCGTTCAAGCGCCTCACCAAATACATGGAGTTCTCCCGGCTTGTCAAGACGGGCGGCTCGGCGCCGAGCTGCATGCAGAAGGTGATCAGCATCTAAAGTTTTCGGCCGGAGAGCAGACGAAAGTTTCAGAAGTTCTAGTTTTTAGTTTTTTAACATTTTAGAACGACTTAGGTTGCGATTTGAAAAAGTAAATTCATATTCGACGAAGATTTCTGAATAATAGATGCTTTTTCTAGGATAGAAATAGGAAACGCAATTTGGGAAATAGCCAATCTTTTGTAGAATTTTTCGGTAAATCCGAAAATCTTTGTAAATCCGACTAGTTTTGCTATTTTGAGAAGTAAATTCGCATTCAGCGGAAAATCTGCAAAAGATGCTCGCAAATAACAACTTAACCTTTCCAACAATTTTGCAGGAAGTCCCTGAGCACTCGGTCTCGCTGCGTCCCACCAAGAAGAAGCGCCCCGCCAAGTCGACGACCTCGGTGAACGTACGGTTAAGCTTCAGCCGTGTTTTCCTCGTAGAAATCGTAGAATTTTCAAGCCTAAAACAGGCCTTCATAACAACCACTTTCCAGGCCGGCGTCTCGACTCGACAGCGTCGCCCGAAAGGCGGCTAAGCCGAAGAAGAAGCCGCCAAGAAGTCACAAGCCCCACGACGACGACGACAGCACCTCCTGCCTCTACCCGCCCGCCTTCCCAGCCCTATTTAATCCATTCCCCCATAAAAATCCATAATTCTTGAACTGTGTTTCTTTCTAAAAAATTACTTGTGCTCATCGTGTCTGTATTTATGTGTGCTGAATGTGAATAAATTGAATCCGCTTGATATCCGCTGCACCGCATCACACCCGACACGATCCCGGTACTGGCCTGATAGCGGGGGGAGGAACTAATTTTTCGTTTTCCGTTTTAGGACCGTACAGGACTACTCGGACAAATTAGTCCCCCCCGCTAACAGTCCAGTACCACCATCTCACGTGCAGCAAGCAAAGATTCTGAAGAAACGACCTTTTTTCCTGCATGGGGACATTGGTTAGAATTTATTCTGGCCTAATCGAGACGACAAAACATCAGAAAATGGGCAAAAACAATAGCAATTCTAGCTAGAAGAAAAACGGGAATCTCGATACATCCTATCGGACGGCGATGTACAGGGTGGTGAATCACCTGAAAAACTCAAGTTTTTGACGTCTCAAAAAAACCTACATCTGATTTTGCCGCCTCGCCTCGTCGTAGCCGTACCCAACAAACTCGATTTCCGGAAATGTTACCTAAACAGGAATTAATATTCGCATTTTCCGAAAAAACCTGTGCTTTCGGTAGCGCCGTCCGTAAATGGCGCAAAAAGGCCGGCCGATTCGCGACGTAGGGCAGGAAATAGAAGTGGGCACGCCTGAATCAGATTCGAGCTGGGCTGTTAGCGGGGGAAATTTTTTAAAAAATTTAATATATTTTTCTAGGAATCAAAAACCACAAAAAAAACTATAAAAAACCATAATATATCATCAACACGTAGATATAGGTGAAAAAACAAAGTGGCTTTCACCCCTTGCCACAAATCCACCCCCCCCCCGCTAACAGCCCAGAACCATCAGAGTAACAAAAGCGTTGCCCACCTTAACCCAACGAGTCGCGACAACCAGAAAATGGCCCCGTCTGTCATATTTGGATTGAGGACGATTTCCTGGAAAAACTCAAGATAAAACTCTGGAACAAACACGCACCAAGTTTCTCAACGTCTCCTTCGGCCTGCCCATCGCCAATTCTCGCAGGCCGTCGTCACCGAAATAGTCGCAAAAATTTAGCTGAAAAGATAGAATTCGAAGCTTCGCAAGACCTACCTTTAGCACCTCTACGCGCCGTAAATTCCGGAAGTAAGCAAATCCCGGGTTCGCTATCGCCGAATCCGAAGCGTCAACTTGTAGCACATACACGCGCGGTGCGTTCGGCCACGCTTCCTCGTGCGCCAGATCGCCGGGCGCGATTTTTGCAGGGGGCTAAAACGATTATTCTTTTTGGCTCTTACGTATTATCGGGGGGGCAAAACATTTTTTCCAGGATCCTATTTTTTTGGAATAGAAATAGTGGAAGTGTTTCTAAACTGTTTTATACTATTCTTAAACGTAAAAACTTTACAACATTTTATTAAAAAGTACAAAAAATATAGATTTTTCTACCAAAATGTCGACTTTTTGAAAGATTGTTTACTAGTTGAAACATAGTTTTATTCTGCTGAAAACATTATTAAATACTTCCTATTAAGTTACTAGACTAGGAATTTCTAGATATCTACAAGAAAATATTGTCCCCCCCCGATAATGCCAAATAATCAAAAAAAACCTCAATTTCGCCAGCGAGTGCCTGCTTCAAATACTTGTTCATTGCACTGATGCTCTTGATGCTGGTCCCGCAGCTCATTCGGACCTGAAAAATGACCATTCGTTTCAGAACAAAGTTTTGCTATTTTATTTATTATAGGTTTCATTCTCTATATCCTTTTCCTAAGCATCAAAAGAAAATAACACTCACCTCACTGGCCCCACAATGCATCAGCCATTCCAGACACGCCAAGTCCGGCCCTATACTTTTGACGCGCTCCTCGTTGTATCTACGAAACAGCTTATGAGCGGAAATTGCAAAATCCTCACCTGTTCGCCGTTTTCTCGGCAAACCATCGACGGAGGCCGATTCTTGTGGGCAACCGCTCGGTCCAGTGCTTTTTCGCCGGTTGGTGTTTGAACTAAAAGCTTTTGTATGAGCTTTCTGGCAAGAAGACGTTTTTAGTATGAATTGAGTTTCGCGTCGAAATCAGGCATATCTTTGCGGCTGATTCCGAAACTGCTAAACGTCCATTTTGAAGCAGTAACAAGGCTTTTAGTTCGAAAAATGTCCAAAATGGCACACTTGGCTAGCTATAAAAATTTCAGAATTAAACAACCAGGAAAAGCCAATCGACAGATCGTGCTCAGAAAAATCTGTTCGAATCAGCTATAGAACGTCCATTTCTCCGGGATGTTTCGCTCCATATGGAGGACCACCATGTGTCAACAACTTTTGGGCGAGATCTTGAAAAAATGACGGGGATCCTATCAAAAGTGATCGAAAACGCTCAAAAACTGACCGCAACTTGTAGAAGTGATGCCCTGCTACCGCATGCCTGCAATAAACAGTGCCCTCGCGAGGGGAGCATCAAATACGGGGCCTAAAATCGAGCTATCGAAATAAAATAGCATCTTTCCTTCATTATAAAGCTTTCTTTATACCTTAACGCTCAAATACTTGAGGCCGAAACCTCTACAATAGTTGTATCTTCCATAATCCAAAGATTTATCCGAAATCGAACCGGTAGTGTGAGCACAATCAATAAATTAAACACATGGTGGCGGTCACGGAAACCCACAACGTAACAGTAAAAGGCACAAAACAATTAGTCTGATCAGTACTACGGGGAGGCAAAACAAATCACAAACGACACAAACATAACAATAACAATAAATAGGGCAGAAGAAATGCCCGGGAACCACTTCAATCGTCTTCGGCGTCGTCGGCAAGTCGTCCGCGTTTTGTGGGTGGCTCGACGGATTCGTTGGGTTCGGCCTTGAGCAGATCTACGGGGAGCTTTACCTGGAAAAAAATGGGTTCTTTTGCCTTAACGGGGGGCCCCCTTTTTGCTTAGGATTTAATTTTTCAAATATGAATAGTAAAAGAGTTTCTAAACCGTTTTTTACTGTTCCGGAACGCTTTACAAATTCTGTTGAAAATATCAAAACCTCAAAAATATCGATTTTCCAGCAAAAATGGCCATTTTCGATGTTTTCAAGTATCTCTAAATGGTTTTTTGCTATTCCGAAGCGTAGAAACTAAACAAATTTTATTGAAAATCATAAAAAATATCGACTTTTCGACCAAAAATCGCCATTTTCGACAGAAATTTCGACGTTTTCAAAACCTTTTAGAGAGTTTTTCTAGTTGAAATTAGTTATTTTTACTAAAAACACTTGATATTGGGTTACTAGACATTTCTGGACTTATACAAAAAACTTCGGTCCCCCCATCGATAATGCAAAAGAGCCGCCAATTTTAGAAACATACCTGAACGCAAAACATTTCCTTAAAGTTGGACACGGTGCGGACGTGGTGAATGTGGGAGATCTGCAGAAAAAGCAGTTTTAATGCTGAAACAACCCCCCAGATACCTCAGCTTTGTCCCATCCCAATTTCTCCAGTACAACTTCTCGAGCCTTCTCGACGAACGTTGAATGCGGCTCACCGAGGGCCTAAAAGGTCGAATTAAATTATACAGGAAATCAGACCCACCTTGATAAACAAATAGCAATAAACCGTAATCGGGAATGGCAATTCGTCCTCGGAAAAACGGCCGTGAAGAAGTCCCTAAAAAAACGTGTGTTTGGAAAAACAAAGCTGGGTTTTCTAGATAAGAAGCTGAGACTTTTTTGGACGTGAAAAAGCTCAATTAATTAACTTTTTTGGGGGTTTTTTTTGCATTATCGGGGGGGGGGGGCAACCTTTTTCTCTTAGCATCTACTTTTTTGCTAAACGTGGAAAATTTAATTGTTATTAAAAGATGTAAAAAATATAGACCCGACCAGAAATGGCGATTTTTCACCAACATTTTGATTTTTTCAAACGTTCTTGAAGGTTTTTAGATAGTTTTTCCCGTTTAAATAAAGTTATATTTTACTAAAAACACTATTAAAACACTTCCTATTAAGTTACTGGACATTTTTCTACGTTATACAAAAAAGTTCGAACATTCGCCCTCCCCCCCCCCCCGATAATGCGAAAGAACCAATGTTTTATATACCCGAAACGCCGGCAGGAAGTTGACGGCATAGCCGGGCAGATTCATGACGATGTGCGCGCCGCTTGGAGGCGTCCACGTCGGGTCCTTGCATTTTTCGATTTCCTAGAATGCAAAAAATCCAGAAATAAAAAACAAAAATACCTTCAATATATCGTCGGCGGCAATCTCGCGTATAAATTGAACGGCGTCCATGGTGAAAACTTCAAGGTTATTCGGGTCAATCTAGAAAAGAAAACGTTATATTTTCTAACAATTAACTGACTTTATTCAGGTCAATGTTCTCGATCAGATAGGCAGTGCTGTCCGGGTTCAAGTCGTTGGCGAACAGCTAAAAGATCAATATAAGTTGAAGAGTTTTTCAAAATAACCTTGCGGCACTTCTTCTTCTTGGCGGCCGGCAGGATGAAGGGGCCCACGCCAGCGCATGCGTCGTACACTAAAAATGCGCATTTAAATTGTTTTTTTCTCATTAAATTTACGTTCTGACCATCTTTATAAAATATTATATTTTTAGATCCGTAAATCACATGTTTCTAAAATTTTAATTCTTACGCATAATCGGAGGGGGGGGGGTTTGAATAAGGCAAGAAATGTCTATTAACTGAATATCAAGTTTTTTAATAGTTTTTAGCATAAAATAACTACATTTCAAGTAGAAAAACCGCAAAAAACTTTCAAAACGTCGACATTTTCACCGATATCGCGATATTTTTGAAGTCATTTTATGGTTTTCCCGTTCAGGAATAATAATAAACGATTTAGAAACACTTACGCTATTTATATTTGAAAAATCAGATCCTAAGACAAGGTTGATTCCCCGATATTGCGACTAAATTCTACCTAGACTCCTGCCATCCAAAAGATTCACAATCCGCTTGTGCTCGTTGCTGAGTCGAGAGTTCCAGAAAACCTGAAAAAAACTCATAAGGCGTTTTGGGAAAGCCTTACCTTGCTAAAATCGAGCCTGAAAACCATTTTCTCCTCAATGACGTCGACGATGTAATTTGGCTCGCCGGCCAGGAGTTCGAGCTCGAAATTCCGGTACTCCGACTTGATACAATCGATTTTGTTGACGACCGTCCTGTAAAAGCAGATTTAAAGTTTCAAAAAATACAAAACACGCTTTTTATCCTATTAAAACTGTTCAAAAACCCACTTGCACGATCTCACTTTATCCAGCAAAATCTGGCCAATCACGAATCGATAGGGCATCAGCTCGTCGCGAATGTTGCAGTGGATCACGGGGCCCGTGTGGGTGAAGCCGCTAAAAATCGTGTTTTAAGAAAAAAAAATTTCTAGAACCTGAAATTGACTCCGCCGGGCAGCACGGCCTGGAAGAGTGCTCGTGTATCAAGATCTTCATATGTTACGGTCGTCTGGCGTTCCCTAAAGCTTTTTTTATTTAGGTTTCCGGCTCTCTCGCGATATCGCAGGGGAACCAATATTTTCCTTAAGGTTTAAGGTTTTAAATGGTTTTTTATTATTCCCCAACGTGAAAATTTTACGAAACTATTAAAAATGTCAAAAATAACGATTTTTCAACCAAAATGTCGCCTTCTACAAAGCTTTCAAAAGTTTCTAGAGGGCTTTTCTAGTGGAAATATAGTTCCTTTTTACGAACAACACTATTATAATACTCCCTATTAAGTCATTAGACATTTCTAGACTTATTTAAAAAAAACCGATACCCTCCCCCCGATAATGCACAAGAACCAATTAAAAGCATCCGATTTTACATTCCAAGTAGGACCCCGGATTTGCGAAAGCAAGGCATTTCCAAATGGCGTCAAAAAAACGTACTCAAACTTCAGCTCATCTTCAGTGTGTTTCTTCAGTGCGTCGAGGATCAGCTTCCGCTCTTCCTCACCCATGGTAGACGGGTTGAACATTATACAGCGCTGTTCCTTGTCATCTGGATCGGGCATCACCATCTGTGATCTCAAAATCAAAACCGCGCTAAAGACACGCACCATGTAATTTCCGAGTTTCCGCAGACCATATTTCCGCAGCAAATCCCACGTCGGCGTGCGGTTAATTTTGCCAAGAATCGCCGGGCCAACCCGGATGAACGGGAGGCAGACGTCTTTGCTGCAAAAGGAAATTAATGAAAAGTGCCGATGTGAAAAAACTTACTTAAACTTGCTGCGATCCAGCTCCGTCATGCCGGTCACACCCTCCGGAATAAAAGATTCTTTTGAAGAGAAGGATGAGGCTGTTGCGTGTACCATCCTAAAATCTCGATCAAAAAGTCAAATTTCTGCAAAAAGTATCAAAAACCATCAAGAGAAAATGGCAGTTATGTTCTTCCCAACCTTATCGATGCCGTCGGGCCTTTCACAGCTGCCACAGCCGTGGCCGCGGAATGGAAAATGCGTCTCAGAAAATGGGCCAGAATGCGGAATAGTAGAAATAGAAAATCACTTTAATTTTAAAAGTTTTAATAATTTTTCGACGGTGAATTTTTGCTGGTACAAAATCGACTGCGAATGGCGCGCGTCTATCAGGCGTACATAGTACGGCCACGGACCGGAGCTGGTGAAAAATATTTTTTGTCGGAAATTGGCAAAAAGTCAGCTAAAAGCTTGAAAATTATATGTTTTGATGCTCTATTTTCATAAATAAGTATTTATCTTAGAAGTGCTAACCGTTGAAAAGTCAGGCCTGTCTGATTGAGCGCTTGGAGGGCGATTTTTAAGCCTTTCCAGTGTTTTTTTCATTTTTAGTACATGAAAATAGTTTCGAATCAACTTTAGGCGCTTCATGTATCGCCCAAAATTAGCGCTGATCACCCGGATAGCTCGGCCGGCCACTTCAGCACTTCCAGCTTGCATCTACCATGGCAGACCGTCGATTTCTACCTCAACAGTTAGCGAAGGTTGGTGTAATTTGGGTTTTAAGCTAATTGTAATGTATCTTTCAGCGATGAAACGCCCTCTACCGCCAGGACCGGCAAGACGCCGAATTCCCGGAGTGCCAGCAGATCGCGGAGGATATGATATTGGTATCAAAATTTTTAAAAAGAATAAAACAATGTGATTTAGATGACCTCGTTCAGCCAAGGCCCGTCAAGCCGCCGCGGATCGACGGGAAGCGGGAACCAGATTATAGCACTGGGCTCGACTCGGTTGTACCTTTTTCACCTTTTTTATTTTAAACAATTTCAGATAGAGGTGGCATTATGTTTGGACGAATTCTCGAGACGGCCAATGATTCGTGAATTGGCCCTAGAGCATGGTCTGGGAGACAAATTGTTTATGCAGGTTAGCCTCCAAAACTCCGAATCAACTATTTGTTTTTAGGCCTACCGCTCGTTCAAGGATTTTTGCCTGCAAAAGGACGCCGTGTTGGAGCCGGCACTGCTCGTCACGCTTCATGTGAGAATAGACAGAAAAAAAGCTATAATGGTGGTTTTAGGACATCATCAAAGATGGCCATGACGTTGATAACCTCTATCAGTTCTTCTTGGCCCACGCGAAAAAGGTGTTCCCGCACATCGAGGCGATGAACGAGCTGAAGATGATCTCCGACCTCACCCAGCCGCATAATTGGTGTGGTTTTTGAAGCTTTGGAAGTTGGCTGGCCAGTAGGGTTTTGAAAAAAGGCGCGATCTCACTCTAAAAATACTGCTCGGATAGTTTTCCGGGTTCTATCACATTATCGGGGGTGGGCCAAAAGTTTTTCTGGGTCTATAAACATCTAGTAACGTAATAGGAAGTATGGTAATAGTGTTTTTCGTTCAAAAATTTTCAAAAAGAAATTTGGGTCAAAAGGGCCATTTTTGTCGAAAAATCTACGTTTTTGTTGTATTCTAGAAATGGTAAAGAACGGTTTAGAAACACTGTGTTCCAAAGACCATTTTTCTAGTTTGAAAATGCGGCTGACTATCCGGCTAACTGAAGCGGCGTGGAAGTTTTCTGAAGAGCAATTTAGGTACCCCGATGCCCGAACGATCCAACGGAAAATCATCTTCCACGCCGGGCCCACCAACTCGGGCAAGACGTATAACGCTTTGAAGAGGTGTTTAGCGCCATTTTTCTTTGTAAAACTACTTTTAGATTTCGCGAGGCAAAATCCGGGATTTATTGCGGTCCGCTGAAGCTACTGGCCGCCGAGGTGTTTCAGAAGACAAACGACGCGGGGGTAAAATGCGATATGGTGACCGGAGAAGAGCGAAGGTATCTTAATTGTTATTAATGTTATTGCTGTATAACAAAACTACTTATAGTTTTTGCCTTTTTATTTGTTTGGCATTCTTGCTCTCTAGATTTGCGATCGACAACCAGCACCCTTCTGCCCATATCTCATCGACTGTTGAAATGCTGGCTACCACAATGAGGGTCGAGGTCGGGGTTTTGTTTTTACTTCTAAAACCCGGTACTTTGACAATATCGGGGATTCTCACGATACAATTCTTGCTAATAGGAATATAGTTAGTTTTTCAAAAAAGGTTTGCTATCCCTGAACGCAAAAAACCTACAAGCTTTTAGCTTAAAAAGATACAAAAACACGATTGTTCTTTCATATTTTATTTTTTAGGCTTTTTCTATATTCTATAAATAGTTTTTGCTCTTGAATTTGTTGGGTTTTGTTAAAAGGCCTCTAAAATTCCTTTGTATGACATTACTAGTCCTTACAGACGTCCAGGAAAAAATCGGGACCCTTCGAAAGTTAAAAAAACCCAAAAATCCCATTTTAGGTAGCAGTAATTGATGAGATTCAAATGTTGCGCGACGAGCAAAGAGGCTGGGCCTGGACGCGAGCGCTACTTGGCGTGGCTGCTGATGAGGTTAAGACTTTATTTTGAAGACAACATTTTTCATTTTCAGGTCCACCTCTGCGGCGAGCCAGCGGCCGTCGAAATGGTACGCCGGCTACTCGAACCGATGGGCGAAACTGTGGAGGTAAGAAAAAAAGCTTCGATAAAATCACTTTTTTAGGTCCACGAATACAAGCGCATGTCGGGCCTGCAAATCGCCCGCGAGGCCGTGCAAACTGTCGATCGTGTAGGTTTTTAAGACACTAAATATTTGAGTTCTTTTGTATTATCGGGGGGCCCAATTTTTTCCTAATGTCTGATTTTTCAAATATAAAAAATCGAAGTGCTTCTAAATGGTTTTTTTAATATTCTTAAACGAGAAACCTATAAAATTTTATTAAAAAAATGTCAAAAATATAGATTTTTTGAACAAAATTTCACTTTTACAAAATTTTTTAATGTTTTAAAAGTTTTTAGATGAGTTTTTAAAGTTTAAAACACTTCCTTTTCAGTTGACTTTTCTAGAGTTATAGAGAAATAGATTTAGGATAGGTAGTTCGGTCCCCCCGCTAATGCCATAGAACCAATATTTGATATAAACAATTAATATTAAAGATTAAAACAAAAATCTTTTCCTTTTAGGTGCAACCTGGCGACGCGATCGTGTGTTTCTCGAAGCGCCAAGTATTCAGCTTTGTCAACCTCTTGGAGAAGAAGGGGATAAAGGTGCATGTGGGCGGCGTGTTGTTACGGACAATTTTTAGCCTGCCATCATCTACGGCGATTTACCTCCCGGCACGAAGCTGGCCCAGGCGGCGCGCTTCAACGACCCCAACGATGATTGTGACGTTTTGGTAAGGTTTTTTTCTTTATGAAAAAATATTTTTAGGTCTCCACCGACGCCATTGGCATGGGCCTAAATCTGAACATCAAGCGCGTCATTTTTGCGGCGCTGACCCGGATGGGGGAGTTGATCCCGAATTATCAGGCTCTGCAAATTGCCGGAAGGGCTGGACGGTAGATGGCCTGAAATTTCGAAAAATCCGGGTTTTTTAGGTATGGAACCCATTATGCCGATGGTGTCGCCACGACGTTTCGACCCGAAGATATTGGCACGCTTCGAGAGCTGTTGGAAACGACGGTAACTTTTTAGGTTCTTATCTTTTAACGATGGGGGAGCTAATCTTTTATTTTTCGCCTGTTAATAATAGATAGTGGATTTTTATAGGTTTATTGTTGATTGCTAGAATGTTATAAAAACTATCATAACAATTCGAAATTTTGATTTTTTATTATTGATCATGCAATACAAAATGACAAAAATACAAAAATTTGGGAAATTGGTCATATTGTAATTTTTAACTGCTTTTTAAGGTTCCACCCATCGATGCTGTCGGCATTTCGCCGACTTACGAGCAGCTCGAGACGTTCTCCTTCCATTTGCCGCAAGCCTCCTTTGTGAAACTACTCGATCTATTCGTGTCCGTTTGCAGTAAGTATTCGGTAATTTTTCTATGCTGTTTTTTCAGGCGTAACTGACCATTTCTTCATATGTACCGTGGAGCAAATGCGCGAGCTCGCTTTGCTGATCGACTACATCATTTTGCCGTTGAAGGTTCGAGCTGGTGTACCTTGTCAATTTTGTTGTTTTTTAGGTCCGATACACGTTCTGCGTGTGCCCGTTGTCGATGGACTCGAAGCTCAATCAGACGACGATCGTCAAGATGGCCAGGCGATTCTCGTCCGGGCAGCCGTTGACCGCCGACTGGTTGCTGAACACGGTGCTCGATCAGACCGAGTGGCCACCGGCAGTCCCGAATACACTCGCGGAATTGGAGCATTTGGAAAATGTAAGGAGGACAAAAAGGTATTCTGAGAACCCTCCCTTTTAGCTCTTCGAAATCATGGACACGTATCTGTGGTTTTCGTTGCGTTTCCCGGATATGTTGCCCGACGAGGAGGTGATACGCGCGGCAACGCGGCAGCTGGATCCGGTATGCTTGCCGTTGTGTTCCGGAGTACCAACGTGGTTTTTTAGATAATCCAAGAAGGTGTCGAGAATCTGGTCAGCCGATACGCCCACGAGGGAAAAGAGGTAGTGGTGGGGAATTCTAGATACAAAAAAAATTCGTTTACCAGGGATCCCAGCGCCAAAAATGGAAGGCAAAGGAGCAGACGCAAAAGGAAGAAAAAGTCTGGGAGCGGATTATCAAGAAGTCCGAGCACAAAGCTCCTGCTCAGGAGCCGCAGCTGCGCAGCGATGTTGCCGCCCAATTGGAAAAAGACGCTGCCGGAGGGTTGAGCCAGTTTTCCAAGCGGCGCACCTCGAAAAGGTAACCGTATGTCTTTTGGGTACTTTCGCACGTAATAAAATAGAGTACTCATTTTTTTAAAAGCCCTAGTCTGAGTAAAAAACTTTCCTTTAAATATGTATTTTTTTCCAGTTCGGCGATCCTCGAAAAAGCGCGCGCCTATCTTTCGCCCGAAGAACTGGAGCATCTGAAGCAAGCGATGAAAAGGGAATAGCATTGTTGTAGAAGTAGATTTTAGATAATTTTATGTTTTCGCGTTTTGTAGCTACTAGCCGATTGTTCGTTGTCCCTGTCGTTGTTGCTGTTTCTGTTGATTTTGTGGTACTGTGTGCACGAATAAATGTTTTTCAGCCTTGTTTTGTTTCCGTCGTTCGGTCGCGCAATCGTTTTCAGCGACAAGTGTCGATTTTAATAACGCACAACTTTATTCAGGTGTACATACACACAAATGTAATAGCAGTGAAGGCTTAATCGAGGGTTGACGACAGGTGAATCGGACGCGTTTTCTCTTTAGAAGGCGCCATCCGGGAAGATATCGTTGAAGAACCGTGTTGAAATATGCACCCTGGAAATGGTAGTTTATTTCACTAAATTCTGGCCTTTTTTTAGTGATGAAAAAGGGTAACATACGTTTTTAGACAAATAAAATTCGTGTAGCGACGGGCGGGGTCTAACGTTGAATATTGAAGGGGAGAGACGGGTGCTGAAATGGGCAGGCTAGCAGAGATTGTTGAGGAAGGGGAGAGGGCAGGCTAGCAGAGATTGTTGAGGAAGAGGAGAGGGCAGGCTAGCAAAGATTGTTGAGGAAGAGGAGAGGGCAGGCTAGCAGAGATTGTTGAGGAAGAGGAAAGGGCAGGCTAGCAGAGATTGTTGAGGAAGAGGAGAGGGCAGGCTAGCAGAGATTGTTGAGGAAGAGGAGAGGGCAGGCTAGCAGAGATTGTTGAGGAAGGGGAGAGGGCAGGCTAGCAGAGATTGTTGAGGAAGAGGAGAGGGCAGGCTAGCAAAGATTGTTGAGGAAGAGGAGAGGGCAGGCTAGCAGAGATTGTTAAGGAAGAGGAGAGGCCAGGCTAGCAGACATTGTTAAGGAAGAGGAGAGGCCAGGCTAGCAGACATTGTTGAGGAAGAGGAAAGGGCAGGCTAGCAGAGATTGTTAAGGAAGAGGAGAGGGCAGGCTAGCAGAGATTGTTGAGGAAGAGGAAAGGGCAGGCTAGCAGAGATTGTTGAGGAAGAGGAGAGGGCAGGCTAGCAGAGATTGTTGAGGAAGGGGAGAGGGCAGGCTAGCAGAGATTGTTGAGGAAGAGGAGAGGGCAGGCTAGCAAAGATTGTTGAGGAAGAGGAGAGGGCAGGCTAGCAGAGATTGTTAAGGAAGAGGAGAGGCCAGGCTAGCAGACATTGTTAAGGAAGAGGAGAGGCCAGGCTAGCAGACATTGTTGAGGAAGAGGAAAGGGCAGGCTAGCAGACATTGTTGAGGAAGAGGAGAGGGCAGGCTAGCAGAGATTGTTAAGGAAGAGGAGAGGCCAGGCTAGCAGACATTGTTGAGGAAGAGGAGAGGGCAGGCTAGCAGAGATTGTTAAGGAAGAGGAGAGGCCAGGCTAGCAGACATTGTTAAGGAAGAGGAGAGGCCAGGCTAGCAGACATTGTTCAGGAAGAGGAGAGGGCAGGCTAGCAGAGATTGTTAAGGAAGAGGAGAGGCCAGGCTAGCAGACATTGTTAAGGAAGAGGAGAGGCCAGGCTAGCAGACATTGTTCAGGAAGAGGAGAGGGCAGGCTAGCAGAGATTGTTGAGGAAGAGGACTCGGCAGGCTAGCAGAGGTTAATTGCGCTTATATACCCGGGGCTACTCCTTTTTCCCGTCCTTCCACTTCATCTCGTACGCCCGCTCCTGTGCCACCGCGGGGTTCATCGGGGCGTCCACCTAGAAAAGTGATTTTTAGAACTAAAGCGTCTATTAAAAACTTACACATTCAAAAACCGTCATCTCCATCGATTTGTCGCGCGACTTTCGCGGGATATTCTCGTGGCCCTCGGCGCCGGGCGACTAAAATTCGGGTTTAGGGCTTAATTTCTATTTTTACAGTTAATCTAGCTATCTAAATTAATTCTATTTTTAAATTGGTCATAGAAACTTTATAAGCAACTGTAGTGAAAAATTTACCACCGCTTTTTCCAGGGAATCTTGCGTGAGGCTGACGTTGAGCTGGAAAAATGAGATTTTCGCGAAAATTCGCGCGTGCTATCGTTCTGTGACTAGGAAACTAACGTACCAACGGGCTGTTCGCGGGGATGTCTAGTTTGGCGTACTGTAAATAGAATGTATTGATCGGCAAAGGAGCTTTACTACCTGACCACCGCGGGCGGTGGCGGCCTTTTTCTTTTCGCGTTGCTGCAAAAAAGGTAGATATCTAGATTTACCTAGAACCAAATTTTTTCGGCGCAATCCTGGTTTTTTATCACTAGTGGATACGTTTGTATATTGGTTTTAACTATTCTTCAGCATGAAAACTTTTGATTAGAACATTATTAGACAGAAAAATTTGATTTTTAGTCGAAAAAACTATCTTTTTTTTGACTCGAAACGACCAAATTTTCAATTCTTTCAATTCAAAACTTTTCAAACTTTTTTTGAAATTTCACACTTTAAATATAGTTAAGACGTACTAAAAAAACTTACTAGGCTAACCGGAAAAAAAATTAGTAAAACCTAAAGGACCAAAACCTACAGAAGTGGCGGTGCCGCTCGGCGACTTGGTGACGGTAGAGGCGAGCGGGACGTATTGCTAAAAAATAATTTTGTCAACTTAAAAACCTGATAAAACTGTGTAAAATTCTGGTCGCTTAATTTTTTTAATACAAAGAAAAACATACGCCATCACGACCAGATTCCTTATTGTCCTTGGCTTCCTTATTTTCCTTGGCGTCCTTGTTCTCCTTATTTTCCTTGGGTTCTTTGGCTTCCCGGGCGTCCTTGCTGTCTTTGTTCTCCTTGTTCTCCTTCGCTTCCTTGTTGTCCTTTTTCTGAAAAAAAGCTAAATTACAGATTTTCGTTGTTTAGATCGAATAAAGCACAAAGAAAATCGATTTTGACTAAAAAACTAAGCTAAGAATAGTACTACCACGTCCTCCTTGCCCGACTTGTTCGGCTCCTTTTCTTTCTTCTTTTCTTCAGTGGACCGCTAAAAAGTATTTTTGCTGTTTTTGAGAAGTAAAGTATTTTTCTAAAATTGCTACGAATTGAGCGCCCCTCTATTTTTAAGATTTTGTCGCGATTTTCCGCAAAGAATCCCTGCTGGCCTGCCCGGTCACATCTTTGACAATAAAATAGCCGACCTTCGTCTTGTTGCCCTTCTTTTTCATCGTCTTCCCGGAGCCTTTCTGAAAAGTTGCAAATTGAAAAAATGATATCAACGGCTTACCCTCGATTCGGCCATCATCGCTTCCTTTTTGTCGTCGACCGATTTTTGCTTCTAAAAAGCAAATGAATTTTGGAGGTATTTTGAAACGCGGAATCATGGTCCTTTCGCATTATCGGGGGGTAGTTTTTGGTACAAGTCCAGAAAAGCTTAGTAATTGAATTTTACGTATTTAATAATATTTTAAGTAAAGCTTAACAATATTTCAGATGGAAAAACGATTAAAAAGTTTCGAAAAAAATTTTTCATTGAAAATTTGTCGAAAACCAGAATTTTTTTATTTTTAATCAAAATTTATCAGCTTTTTGTGTTCAGAAACTGTAAAATCCATTTGAAAACATGTCCACTATTTATATTTGTAAATTTGGATCCTAAGCAAAGAAAATTTTGTCCCCCCAACCCCGTTGACGCCAAAGCACCGCTTTTTAAAACTAGTGTAACTTATTTTTTAAACTGTTATAATAACAGACATTTCCCTTGGAGCCGCGGCGGCTGCGCTGTGACGTCTCCTTGTGCTGTTCGGGCGGTTTTAGGCCTTTCTGAAACAAAAACGTGTCGGTGCATTAATGGACCAAATATTTTCGATCAAGAACAAAATATTTGAAACTTACAATCTGCACATACTGCTTCTCCTTCTCTTTCACCTCACGAGGATCGTCGCCGCTTTTCTAAAAAAACGGGTACTTTCGCATTATCGGGGGGTCTTATATCCAGAAATCCCTAGCAACGTGATATAAGTATTTTTAGTACAATTTAAGATGGAAAGTGGAAAGCTATCTAAAACCTGTAAAAAATTACTAATTTTGATAGAAAATGGTATAAAAACCAATTTTTTTTGAATCTTTTGTATAAAAAGTATAGTTGAACGTCTAAAAATAGCAAAAAAGTGCAGAGAAACAACACTTTATTTCTATTAGTAGATAAATGCGGTCCTAAGGAAACACCGATTTCGTGCCTTGCCCGGCCTTTTAATGAACGTAAGCACCGTAACCTACCGTAGTGGAGCGTAGCTTTGCCTTTTTCTTTGGCGCCTTCCGGCTGGTGCCGGCCTTTTTGTCCTGGAATCGACAATATAATTCAATGTTATTGAACCGAAACGACTACTAAATTTGATTGAAATAAGTCGTTAAAGAATACGCCAATTTGCATAAAAGCTATAAATTTGATAACGAAACCCACCGCCATAGCTGCGTGCAGTCTTGAAAGAAAGAAAAGCCGCACGCAGAAATCGGACTCGGAAAATGTCAATTATAAATTAGCATATTTTGTTTTCGGAAAATTATGCAAATCAGCGAAACATTTTTCTGTGAAAATTCCGGACCCACAAATATATTTTCGATTTTTTTTTGTTTTGAAATCGCTCTGTTTTTTATTAAAGGATATGAGTCATAAACGTCAAATGAAAGCTAATTTTTTGAAACGGAATGTTTCAATAAAGTTACGGCTAAAATGGGATTCGATCGGGTGATTCTATTGGTGCATCGTAGCAAGGAAATGTTTTTCGAAAATCAAATAAAAAAATTGGTTCCGGGAGCGCAATTGCTTATTGGTGCTGGGACCCTTTTAGCCCTATATTAATGGATATATGAAAAAAACAGGAATACATCAAACAGTCGATTCCGTAAATATTCAATTTGCTGTTCTCCCCAACCCAAAAAAAAAATGTTTCAAAAAAATCCGAAAAATAAATGGTTTTTGGAACGATAATATGCCGTTGCTCCTTGATTCTCGATTTCTCACAAGGGAAGTGCACGACCGGCCCACGAGAAATCGACACGGGACATAGTGGATCTGATAGAATCGGACACGGGGATTCCGAATCTGTAATCAGAATTTGCTAAATAAAACGGAGAAAAAAGTTATGAAGCATCAAAGTTGGCCAAATCGCCAAAAACGGTACCTTTAAGGGCCCGTAAAAACCGGGAGAACGGAATTGAGGAGAAAAGAATTGGTGAAGCTTGTTCAGCAGAAAAAGCGCTTTCGAATGAGCTGTAATACGTAGCATTTGCAAACAATTCACTGAAAAAAGTTTTTTTGGATTCACGGGCAAGGGTATGGCCTGTCAAGTTCATAGAAGTGATTTCCGCGAAATCATCGTAAACTTGAAGTAAGATAGCTCATTCGAAAGCGCTTTTTCTGCTGAACAAGATGCACTAATGGGTTGTGGCAAATTTCCATTTCCTGGGCCTTTACAGGCCCATAAAAGTCCGATTTTGGGCGATTTTACCAACTTTGAAGCTTCATAACTTTTTTGTCCGTTTTATTTAGCAAATTTTGATTACAGATTTGGAATCCCCGTGTCCGATTCTATCAGATCCACTATGTCTCGTGTCGATTTCTCGTGGGCCGGTCGTGCACTTCCCTTGTCAGAATGATTAAACTTCCTACAAATATAACAAGTAGTTTCATAATGAAAAACAGTTCGTTCACTTTCAATGGTGCTTTCACTTTATCGGGTGGGGGGCATCATCGGTTTGTTAAAAAATGGCGATTTTCGACAATTTGAAGTTTTTTTATGCAGTTTTTGACTCGGAAAATCATTAAATTTTACTAAAACCCTTGCGATTATGTTACTAGCATTTCTGGGCTTATGAAAAAGTTTCACCAACAATACGAAAAAATGTTTCGCCAAAATCAAGTCCCGCACCAAATTTGAGAATCGTTATTAGATGGAAAGGATGAGGCTGGGAGCTAGCAAAAAATGTTTCACTGAAATTCCAAGAAAACCAGAATTTGTTTCTGGCAGTTGAAGGTCATTTGCTGATTTAACACACCATTTATTCCAAACAATCAAACAAAAAAAAAACGTATAAGCGGTTAATCGTCGAATATTTGTAAGAAGCATTTCCTCCAAGGAGGGGATACGGTAGTTTTTCGTGCTTTTCGCCATTTAGCGTTGTTGAAGTTGAAGGGGGAGAAGAGAAGAAGCCGAGAGAAAGAGAAGAGCCCTGGAAAAGGATGGCTTTAAAACGCAAAAAAATGTTAAAAAGTTAAAAATACGGTAATTGTAAGTTTTTTTAATTTTAGCCAATTAAATTCACTGATAAAAACATAGTTTAAAAAAATTCAGATTTTTAATTTTTTGAACAAAAAATTGTTACAAAGAAACGAAAAAACCGAGTTAAGACCTAGAAAATGGCAAATTTGCTCTATTTTAATAAGCCTCTATGGCAACTTTGAATAGTTTCAGAGCGAAACTCACCATTTTTACACACCAATAAGGACCCATGGAAAACGGAAGACGTTGAAGAAGATAACAGCCAAGCGTTGTGAAGTTGAAGGTGGCTAGAAATCGAATACATCGAGGAGTTATTAGGAATTGCGAAAAAATGCCTAATTTATAAAAAGATGAAACACGCATTTCCAAATCCTGATTTTGGCTGCGGAAGTAAACATTTACAATACAGCCTCGTTTGAAAAAAAATGTTTATTTTATTGATCAAGAGGCGCTTTGTAGTTCCGTGGGCAAAAAATTGCTGAATTTGCCAAGAGATAAAACACATTTTCATAAACTGACAAAATCCATGGTCTGGACTTATCGACCCCTGCAGGGCCATTGAAGCGCGCTTTCAAAAGATCGAAGGTGAAATCATACCGTAATGCGCTATTCCTTCTTCGCCTCGTCCTTCCACTTCATCACGTGTACCTCGACGTGGGTCACAGCCGGGCTCATCGGCGCGTCCACCTGAATTTAAGGAAGTTCACGATAACCATAGCTTTAATTTAGATCCTTCCCAAAATCCAATATCTAGCGTTGGTTTCGCCACTAAAAACTAAAAAAAACGATTTTGGTTAAAAATCGGCTCTTTTTGGTCGAAAAATCTATATTTTTTATTTTTTCATAAAAATTTGTAAAGCTTTCACATTTAGGAATAGTAAAAAACCATTGAGAAAGATTGGCCCAGCTATTATTGCGACCCCCGCGACTCTACGGGAATTAGGAAAAAACCTGAAACTGATTTTTTGAAAAATTAGTAAAACTGAATTTTTAAGTTTTCTAGCTTTTTTATTGATTTCTTGTACTTTATTAATGCTTTGTAAAAACCCCACTTTTTCAAAAACCGTCATGGCCATCGTTTTCTTGATCCGTCCACCGGAGACGCCCGGGTCTTTCGAGGGCTAGAAAAATGGGGCCAAATTTTTGGAAAATTTGGAAATCCCCCTACGTTGATCGGGCTAATCAGCGAGTCCTGCGTGTCGTTGTCCTGAACAATTAAATTAATTAAACGTATAGAAAAATTAGAAAAACAAAAAACGACCAGTAGGCAGACCTGATCAATCGGCTCTCCGCCGCCTGCGCCGCCAGACTTTTTCTTCTTCTTTTCCTGGAAAATCGAGGAATATCGGCACTAAATTGTTCTGGGATAAAGAAAACGGTATTGCAGCAAGCAAGAAACACCTTTTCCAAAGCAAAAAAATTTTACATTTTGAAAAACTATGTTTCAAAGCCCTAGAATTATGACAATTTTTGCGCTTAGCTAATAGTCTCCCGTCATGACCTGCCTTCTAATGAGTTTCTACATTGTGCAAAAGCTATATTTTTCTAGATATAAATAATTAATTAAAATTAAATATATGATTTGCGAGCCTTTCCCCACCTTTCCTGAATTTCCCGAGTCGCCCACCGGGCACTTCGACATTTTCGCATCCTTGTGCCCACGTTCCTGCAAAAAGCCCATTTAATTAGATGTGTTTCACTGATTTCCCTTAAATTAAAATGCATGGAAGAAGTAGTACATCGATTATCCCGGTTAAAAAGCTTTTGATAGAGAGCTAAATCATGAAAATCTCTTCCGATCTCCCCCCCGATAATGCCAAAGAACCCATTCCATCAATTATCTCGTGCTCACCGCGGCCGAGCGGCCCGAGTCGACGGCGCCCTGAGATTTCGTCTTTTTCGACTTTTTCTCCGAGGCCGTCGAGGTGCTGCGCTGCAAAAAAAATATAGAATTTTCGGGTACTGTGGCTTCGAAACACCTTAATATAAAATAGCAATCCGTTTTTTAGCTTTTCTAACCTGAAATAAGCAAAAATTTATGGGGGTTGAGTCTGCGAGGAAAAATGGTAAAAGAAATCCGCATAGCGCTCCGGGAAAAAGGACAGAAACGATACCTTGATCTTGCCGCTGCCCCCTTTCTTCGTGCGTCCTGAGCGCTAGAAAAAAGTGTTTCAAGGGACATTAAAAATCGTATCTTATGTGTGGCTACATTGTTCGATAGGGTTAGACTGCAGTTTACCCCCCCAGCCGGCCCCCCACCTACCGTATCTCGGGTCCCTGTTCATCTACAGGTGTGTAAAGCATACCAGAATGTTCGTCTTGTTTTGGCGAGTATTTTGGTATACTTTACACACCTGTAGATGAACAGGGAGCCGAGAGACGGTAGCTGTGGCCTCGGCCGGGGGGTGGGGGGGTAAACTGCACTTCAGCCAAAAACTTAATTTAAATTAAATATATAAAAAATAGTGTTTGTGTGTGTGTGTGTGTGTGTGCATTTGCATGCAACTTCCGTCCGTATGTTCCAGTCGTATCTCAATAGGAGAGGAAGTTAAGCGTACGTATGATACGTCATTAAGCGCGTAATGGTCATGACACGACTGCACGCATATGAGATTTTTAAAAATCAGCTGTTTTCTCTTGTCTCTCTTTTCTCTCTTCAGAAAATTAAGCTTTTGTAAAAACCTCGCTTGGCCTCTTTGTTAGGAATCAATTAGCATGCACCGGAAGTGGGGGAAGCCTATATAACGGGGTAGAGGACGCTCTTTTCATTTTTCTGTACAGGAATTCAGGTGTTTATGCAAAGTAGGGTTGTTACGGTCCGGACCGAAAAAAGTCGGTCCGGTCCAAATTTTTTTTGGACCGACTGGACCGAGTTTTTTTTTGGACCGTTGGACTGACTGGACCGCCTGGACCGACTTTTTTTTGGACCGTTGGACCGTCTGGACCGACTGGACCGACTTTTTTTTGGACCGTTGGACCGTCTGGACCGCCTGGACCGACTTTTTTTTGGACCGTCGGACCGTCTGGACCGTTTGGACCGAAATTGTTTTGGACCGTTGGACCGTCTGGACCGATTGGACCGACTTTTTTCTGGACCGTCGGGCTGAATGGCAGGATTTTTTCTAACGAGTCCGGCTTTTCTGAAGGGTCCGGCATGTCACTGGTCCGACGGTTTCCACCTTCAGGACGGAAGCGAGGTATAGAGTGCACCACTCCCCTCCCTCGTTCCCTTTTTGGGCTCCCCTGGCTCCCTTTTTTTAGGTTAGGGAACGGGGCGGCCGCAGAGAGGGCTGAGTAAACCAGACCTTCTTTGCTGTTAGCGCATGCGACTTCCTCCACCCGAACCCCCACCCCGCGGCTAAATTTCACTTTACGGTATTTTCTCAAAATGTCATTTTTTCGTCTGGAATCGATGTATCCCGACGAGTTCGTGCGTTTTCAGTTGAAAAAACATTTGAGAAACGCTTCTGGACAAAGTTATTAACCTTAACCCCTAACCAAGACAGGCTAATTTAACATCAGGGTGGGTCTCCTCAGCTGGATCCCTGATGTTTTCTAGTTCAAAAGGTTAAATTCTGAGTTGTATAGTAAAGTATTTTCAATTTTATTAGGAATTTGTGTTTTTTAATGAGTTTTGGTACTATTCAAGTTGGGGGGGGGGCAAAATTTTTTTGCGGCCAATTTTCGTCATTCTCGACTATTTTGTTCAGTTTTTGATGCTGAATCGAATGCAACTGTTTTTAAAATTTATTGGATGATAACAACGTAACAATTAGGTCAACAAAATAGCATAACAACCTTCACTCGCAGGGATAAACCTCCGTGACGTGCGACCAATAATTAAAGAACGGATCATTTCCAAATTCTTGTCGCCATGTGAACTCGGCGAGGTAGTCCTTGTAGCGTTCATTTGAGCGGACATTGATCCCATGTTTAGCCTTAAGCATCTTTTTGAAACGCATCCACATAGCCTCGATATTCTGCGTGTGGCAACCATTGTTGGGGTTGATGAAATTACGCTGGTGATTGACTTGGTAATGCTGGAAAGCGTGAGGCAGCAGCGTCACACCGTTGTATGCGCGCCACATGTCAGAATGAATAATGCTACCCGGTCGCACGTGCTTCTGGAGAAGTGGCAGAAGAGTGGCCGCATCACGTCGATCGACTAACTCCATGAAACCTAGCTGCGATCCTCTTTCGACGCCCCCAAACATCCACATTCTCTTTTGACCCGGGATCCGACCCCTGTTATACTTCCGCTTTGAGATCGCGGTTTCATCAATTTCGATGATGATTCCCGGACCGCCGATCATGCGCGGGTGCTTGTCGAAGTATTTCACGAAGATATCCCGAATCCATTGGCACCATTGATGGCAGGTTTGCTCCGAGATATTGCATTGAAATGCGATTTCCTTTTGAGTTGAGTGCATGCGCAGATAAAGATAAGTAACGAGCATGACCATTTTTGGCGTGATGTGGCACTTCGCGAAGAAAGTGCCGGTGTAAAAGCCGAGACGACGCTGGACACCACCTCCCCGACAAGTTCCCTTGTTGCATTCCCATCGAGGTACGCCGTCGGCGTGTCCTCCGGTGTAACGCTTCATCGCCGTGATGTGACAATTGGGGCATGTACGTTTCGAATGCAAGAGGCCCAGATCTTGAAACCAATCCTCAAGTTCCTTGTCTGACTTGTGGATTTTCGGCATGAGCTCGAGCAGGGTTATGTCGCGCAACGCGTCGATTGAGTTGGCCATGGTGTTGACCAAATTAAATGCGAAAAGTAAACTTTGAACGCTCCCATTGCCTTTTATACCTCTATCGAGTGTCTTTTAGGCATCATTACTGTATACCGGCCGAAAACCCGATGATAAAACTACTGTTAAAAATATTGCTAAAATATTCAGAAAAGCGAATCCAATAATTTTAAAAACAGTTGCATTCGATTCAGCATCAAAAACTGAACAAAATAGTCGAGAATGACGAAAATTGGCCGCAAAAAAATTTTGCCCCCCCAACTTGAATAGTACCTGAGTTTTAGTTACATTTGTTTCACTTTCTCTGAAATTTTCTTTGATTTAGCAGATAGTTCTATCTCCACCTTCGGTCGCGTACAGGCTGTGTGGATAGTGTGGGTGTGTAGGCTAACGTAACCGAATGGGTGGGTTGTTTTGTAAGACTAGCTAATCGAAAGAGTAAAGAATTGAAGAAAAGGTGAAATTATAATAAACTGGTACTATTAAAGTATGAGAAGGAAAGAAAATATTTATGGAAGTGTTATAGGTTTTAGTTTTAATTTGTGCATCAAGTTTTTTCCACTAGTATCGTATTTTAGGCTAAGCCCTGGGTGCTTTTTCATAGCTTTACTGCATAGATTTAGTAAAATTTTACTGGGGTAGCCGTTTTTCATTAAAGGGGCTCGGAAGTCAAAATTCGTACGCGGGGGGATTGAACCTACTGGTCAAAAAACGATAGGGTCCCTGCCGAGGTGTGCCAGAAAAGTGATTTCATTGCGAAAAAACGTAAAATATTTGAGAAAAACTGAATTCTTTTTGGGGCGAAAACGACCTTTTGAGTGGGCGGCGATTACATGTCGTAATGCCTCGTAAGACACCCAATCTCTCGATCTCGGCGATTCTCTGATCAATTTTCATAATTTAAACGTCTGGAATGATCCAAATTCGTTGAGGATTCCAAAAATAGCATCAGAATTTTTAAATTCAAGCGTTTACGCGTTCAAAAAGGGACAGGTGTTCATGCGTCGCGGTCGCGTTGCGGTCGCATTTGGCTATTTGCCAGGAATCACAGCAGGGGGCCGTGGACCAGATTTCGGAGCCCCTTTAAGTGGCTAATTAGATTTTGTAAATGTTTTATATGGATAGCTTGAGTCGGTCGAGCCGGTCCAACCGGTCCCAAAAAAAGTCGGTCCAATCGGTCCAGTCGGTCCGACGGTCCAAAAAAAAGTCGGTCCAAACGGTCCAACGGTCCAAAACAATTTCGGTCCAAACGGTCCAGACGGTCCAACGGTCCAAAAAAAAGTCGGTCCAAACGGTCCAGACGGTCCAACGGTCCAAAAAAAAGTCGGTCCAGGCGGTCCAGACGGTCCAACGGTCCAAAAAAAATTCCGTTGGACCGGACTGGACCGACTTTTTCGGTCCGGACCGTAACAACCCTAATGCAAAGTGATGAAGTATTAGGGGATGACGGGGCCAGGGTTGAAAAGTCGCGAAGCGGCTTTTCAACCCTGGTTTAAATTAATCTCGACTAACAGCTAATTTAAGAAATTGAATGCCACTCTGAAATCTACGATTATTGCTATCGGAAAGTGCAAGCGGAATAAGTCGGAATTATCCCGGCTTTTTTAAGTGACGTGAAAAAAAAGTTTCAGGTTTTCCAAATAATTTAATAAAATTTTTAGGAAATGAATGAATTTAACATTGTCTCTACTATACCTGCGACTTGGCCTGGCTCTCTTTGCTGCGCTGGAAAAAAGGATGTTTTTACTTTCATAAAACCAAACGCACCGCCTTCTTCTCGGAGCTGGCCACCGACTTTTTGACTCTCTATAAAGTATAGGTACTTTATTTGATTATTTCAAGTATATCTTCGAATGATGACAACTCAGGAGTTGCAAAAGAATGTTCCAACAATCAAATTATATACGAACAAATCTTGGAAGGCATTTTCGTGATGTTTTTTTCTTGGATGTTGTTCTAATTTTGAGCCGTTAGAAGCGTGACCCCATAAAGAAATTTATCATTTAAATATCAGTTTAACGGTTTTTAGATATAAAGACGTCTTCCAAAAATTCTACAAGTTTTCGAGACCCTATGATTTTTTGCAAAAATGTTTGAAAATGACGAAAATTCTTTTGACGAGCTAATTCTTTTGCAACAAAATGTTTCGCGTATCATAACAATCGCTTTTTTTAAAAAGTTAATGATTTCCCCTCTTCACTCGCACAAAAGAATTTTGCGCATTTAGCATTTTAAAATTTTTTCAAGATATTTAAAACTTTCTCTTCATTTAGATTTCCTGCTGACCATTTATTTTATATATTATTAACCTTTAAAAATGTCTTATAACTTAATTAATAAATTAAATTAAATCCCAACCGTCTGCACGGCCTCGCGGCTGACTTCAATATCGGGTATCAGCGTCGTTTTGCACTCGCGGCTGGGAAGTGGCTGAAAAAGAGTGTTTTAAAATCCGTTAAATACGAAAATTGGAATAAATAAACTTTATACAAACCCACCAAGCCCTGGTCGTCGGGGGAGGCGGCTTGGGTCTGAAAATCCTCAATTAAAATAAGCGCAAATATTATACTTTTGCACTAGCGGGCGGGGGCTATTTTTTTCAAGCCTTGAAATCCCCAAAAACGTTGTAAAAACGTGTAAGTATTTTCGGTGTTTTTACCACTTTTTCGGTACCCCCCGATAATGCGAAAGCGCCAAAAAGAGGGGAACCTTGCACTCTGCCGACACCTTCGACGGCTTCCGGCTCGGTGGTTTTCCCTGGAATTGAAAATAGCGGGGGGTTTTTAGGGAAAATGGGTTTCACAATTTTTGGAAGGTTTGCTTGTTTTTCGGACAATGACAAGGGCTAAAGGGCTGATTATGGAGAGTCCCGAGCATGTTTTACCAATGCTCTTCGAAACCTAGTTTATATTTGTTTTTCAAATAACACGCTTTTTTCAATGCAACTTTAAATAATCTCGAAACTTTTATAACAAGCAGGGGTCCATTATCCCTAAAAAAGTTTAAAATATTTTAAAAGTAACAACCTTGCTATTTCCGTTTACATTGCATTCGTCCTTTTCAACATTCTTCAAAATTTAAAATTTTTCGACATTTGAGAAATATCTAAGGAAAATGCTGTTTGATTTAGCCATTTTTCTAGGCACGAAAAATAGTCGATTAAAAAATACCCACCACTGGCGAACGGGACAGCCCTTCGACGTCTGGGCTTTGCTGCAACAAAAAAAAAGGTAAGAGTTTACTTTACCCCCCCACAGCCGAAGGGTCCCACAGGTGTCGGTATTTTCGCTTATTTTTTCGGGATTTTCGCAACGCCATTCGATAGAGCGTCGAAAAATATACGAAGAGTTTTAATTTGAGCCTACAATAATGTAAAATAAAAAAGTTATGGCCAAAAACTTCCGGCTGGGGGGGTAAAGTAAACCGTAGCCAAAAAAAAATTAAACCCTAGCTAAAAACTAGAAAACTCTGGTGTCACACTACCTTTAAAATCGTTTGAAAGAGGCGCACAAGGCAATTCTATAGCTCTAGCGAATCTAAAATTCTATTGTCTCAGATAAATATTTATTTAAAAATTATTTTCGTCAATAAAAACAGATTTTAAAATTTTTAGACTATTAAGGTAGTTCGGGATTTTAATTGCTTAATTTCGCGAATTTCTCGAAGAGTCTCTACGAAAAGCTGGCCTTAAATTCCATTGCGTAATCGATTACGATAGTAAATGCATAGCCAATCGATTATGCCTTGCCGAGCCCTTTAAAACACCCCCAAACCCACCACCCCTCGTTTGGTGCGCGGCTTTTTCTTCTTCTGACTCTTGCCCGACACGTCGGGGCTGTTCTGAAATTTTATTCGTATCTTTTACGTGTTTTTATTAAAGTTCCTCTGGTATCAATCTTTGTCTAATTTACATGCCTTAATTTGCATACAGAAATTAGAATAAGCAAAACAAAACACTGACCGCCATCCCGGGGAAGGCGAGCAAGACAAAAGTTTGGTGGGAATTAAAAACCAAAACCGGGCATTTTTATGTTTCATATGTAAAACATAAAAATTTAAATTTTCGATTTTAATTGATTGACGCTTTCAAAAACTGTTCGAAGAACGCCTTCGGGCTAATTAAAAAATCGTTTGGATTTATACAAAATATAACTTCAATCGATGCTCATCAATTTATTCCGTTTATATCCGGGGAGAATTCTGGGATTTAATGATGCCCAGAATTTTTGAGCTTCAAAATTTCTTTAAAATAACCTCTGGAATCTTGGTAGAAAACCTTGGTTCCAATAAATACGCCTAATAACGAATTTTTCTATCAGCGGTAATTACGCACAGATTTAAATTTTTTTTAATTGTTAAATGTCTTAGATTTTTTAATGTTAGATTTTCTGAGATCGTGAAACACAACTTTTTAGGAATCCAGGGCTCTTAACCCATTTTTCTTAAATCGATTTGATGTTTGATAAAAGTATTCGATTCCGGTGCAAATTCGAGCCTTAATAATGGTTTGATTGACGATACCACGAAATCGCCGACTTGATCGGCCCGTTAAAATCCAACCATATGCGTTGATGAAATCGATGTGGAAAATCTTTATTCCGATAAATACAGTTTGAAGAATGATAATATTCATGTTAAAATCATAATAAAAATCAAATTTCAAAGTCGCGGCGCGTACAGTAATTTCTTGATTTTTGTGATTGTTTTGTGATTTGTGAAATTCATGTTTCGGAAATTGATTCGGTGGCGATTAAAATTCGTTCGATAATTGTTCGAAAATTGCAATTCTATAAATTTTCTATTACACTACATTCCAATAATTTTGGTCTTTTAACGGTCCTTTAAAAAATCTAAAAGCGGGTTTTATGTTTTTAAAATGTAAGAAAAGTTCAGACCTAACGCCCCTTCCCAATACCGTATTTTTGGTCAAAATTCGGGCCCCCAACGTTAGCCTCGAAAAATGCGTCGTCAAATATGGGGAATTTCTGGAAGACTCGATGCAGTAGATGCTCAGACTCCTCCCGCATCAGCTCGTCCATCTCCGTCGAAAAATGGGGGTACTGTAATTCATAAAAATTATTTTTATTGCTACGGATTTCTATATTTCAACGTTAGTTTCCTTATCGAATTTGTTTAATTAGAAAAATTATTAGGTTTGTTTCCACCCGCAAATCATTAACGATCGCTGAAAAACCCCGTCTTTATTTATTGTCGAAACATATTTTTTGCAAACCTTTTCTTTCAAGTCGTTCTCCAGATTATTGGTCGATTCATCGCTGCCATCATCCTTAAAATAGATTTCTTACGCTTGACGGGCGAGCTAGCAGGGATCCTTTGCGAATGCCGATTTTGGCTTCATGGGTCCTTTAGTAATTGAAACGGAGAGACACCGAAAGAGAGAGAACGAGAGAGAGCGAGGGAGAACGAGAGAGAGCGAGGGAGAGCGAGAGAGAGCGAGGGAGAGCGAGAGAGAGCGAGGGAGAGCGAGAGACGGCGAGAGAGAAAACGAGAGAGAGCGAGGGAGAGCGAGAGAGAGCGAGGGAGAGCGAGAGACGGCGAGAGAGGGAGAAGTAGAGAGAGAGAGAGAGAGAGAGAGAGAGAGAGATAGAGCGAGAGAAAGAGATATCAGAAGGCAAAGAGATTCCACGGTTAACAGATAAAATATAGTTTTAGATAAATTTTTCGTAAGCTATAAAGTCTAATGAAGCCTGCCAAGTGAGTAAAAATTACAAAAAAGGTGATTCAAGCCTTTCTCAAAATACCGAACAGATTTTAACACTAATTCTTGATCGCGAATAGATGAAAAATCGGAAGTTACAAAAGATCCTCTCACCTCTCGGCTCGTGCGCTTCCTCGCTTGTTCTTCAGAATCACCCTCCTTCTCTGCCCTCTCTCGCTTCCGCCTGCCCTCTCGTTTTTTGGTGTGGCCGAGGGAGTGGCCAAAACTCGATCCAAACGGCAACCAACCGCTGTACTAAAAAAAGCATGCTTCAGGCGTATTCTAAGGTGTATCCCGCGAAAAAAATTCACTGCGGTATCGAACCTGTTCAGTAATCATTTTTGAAACACACATAAAATTTTTTCAAACTATTGATTGCCCTGAATTTTAATGTAATCTGGATATATTTTTATTAATAAAAATTGAGGAAATCTATAAGAACGTTTAAATCTATATAACATTTATTTTAATTTTAATCGAATTTTGATTCGATATAATTATTGAGAATTCTGAATCAATTTTTCCAAACACATCAAATCCGTTAAGTTTAATGGCTAATATTTTACTTTAATCTTTTTGAATATTTTACTTTGTGTAGATGAAAAGCCATAAACTTTTTAAACTTTGAATGGAAAATTCTTTACCGTTGGCGCGGAAAACTGTAGCTTCCGGGGTGGTTGGTCAAATCCTGCGTATTTTAGGCCGTCCTGCTTTTCCGGATCCATCCTATAGTCAGCCTAACATTCATTAAAACTAATTTTACATTTTGTTAGATACCGAAAAATCGGCCGGCACGTCCATTTGGGTGAATACGGTGGGCCGGCCGAGTTGGCCTGAAAAAATGCGTGGTGAAGAAAATCTGTTTCGAGGATTTGTAATGCTTTTTGCTGGGGATTAGAGGTAATAAAATCCTGATCGGGGATCGAATAAATACATGTTTCGAAATCTAGGCATCAGTAACAATTTTTCATAAGCTGTGCAATGCGGAAGTTCTTGACCCTTACAAAAATTTCATGGAAAAATAATCTTTTTCAGAATCAAATAGATTTTTCTAAATTCCTAAATGGTCTCCGCTGGATTCCTCTTTTATACGGTTTTAGGTTTAAGGATGTCTAAGATTTTCAGAAACTTTAAATTACGTATTTCCAATCTAGCCATACATCCAAATTTCTAATTTTGAACAATTCGCGTGCGGTTTCATTCATTACCCCCTGCTTCTCGCCGAGATTTGCTCGGCTAGCAGGCTAGCAGCGATTTTCCTGAATCTTAAAAGCAAGGCGAGTTAGCAGGGTTCCTTGCCGAATCGCGAAATTTCAAGGGCAGGCTAGCAGAGATTGTTGAGGAAGAGGAGAGGGCAGGCTAGCAGAGATTGTTGAGGAAGAGGAGAGGGCGGGCTAGCAGAGATTGTTGAGGAAGAGGAGAGGGCAAGCTAGCAGAGATTGTTGAGGAAGAGGAGAGGGGCAAGCTAGCAGAGATTGTTGAGGAAGAGGAGAGGGGCAGGCTAGCAGAGATTGTTGAGGAAGAGGAGAGGGCAGGCTAGCAGAGATTGTTGAGGAAGAGGAGAGGGCAGGCTAGCAGAGATTGTTGAGGAAGAGGAGAGGGCAGGCTAGCGGAGATCCTTGAGGAACGCGACCTACCGTATTCCATCCTGACCCTCGCTTTCCCGTCCGTCTGTGGTCCCATCTGCACCGAATATTCCATATGATGGCCGTAGACGTGGTGCTCGGAGTACGAGCCCGTGGTGGAGGTTTCTGAAAATCGACTGGATTGTAAGCCATTTGCGATTAGATCCGTCTCCATTTTTTTATTAGAATTTTTCATTGAAACATACACTCATAAAGTGGCAGCAAAAAAGATACGAAAATCGCTATAAAAATATGCTATAGTTTGTTAATAGTTACAATAGTTTGGTAGATATGTTTTTTAGTAAATTACCCCCCCGCTAGCAGACAAGCTCCAAATCAATTTCTACCATCATCCTCTTACCGTACTCTTCCTGCCGTGACGGGACAAAGCATAGGCCAAGTAATACCACGAAAATCAGCAACATTCTAATAGTACTGTAATATGGGTGGGGGGGGAAGTGGGGGGCTGGCTGTCCTTTATATTGTCGCGTAGTCGTTCGTAGTAAAAAGTGACACTTTCCGGCTCCGGGCTACTACTTTTTACGCGCGCCCACTCTTAGCGCATGAATACACAGGGGGACTGGTTTCTTGATACTTCCTTACTATTATGCAGATGCAGATTAGCATACAGTAATGGGCGTCTTTTGGCGTTTGGGGGTAAAATTCTCAGGCTTAGGCTTAGCTTAGGCTTAGGCTAAGGCATAGGCTTGGCTTAGGCTTGGCTTAGGCTTGGCTTAGGCTTGGCTTAGGCTTGGCTTAGGCTTGGCTTAGGCTTGGCTTAGGCTTGGCTTAGGCTTGGCTCAGGCGTAGGTCAGGCTTAGGCTTAGGCTCAGGCTTAGGTTAGTCCTTAGGCTTAGGCTGTTACTGGGCTATTAGCGGGGGTGGGGCATGGTTTTCGGCGGAAGAAATTGCCTACAATCTGTTGGGTTTTTACCTGTAAAATAATAAATCATGTATTTTTATAGTTTTTCGTGGATGATCATTTCTAAAGAGTTAGGAAACACGTTTTCAATGTTCAAAAAATTAGAAAATTCTATGCATTTTTGACGATTTTTTTATGCATATTTAATTACCAATTGGTATGAAAAATTGTCGCCCCAGAAATAGTCGAGTACTGTGAAAATATGAAACAATTCGTTTGTTCAATTTTTACCGTGCGATTATTATGCGATTTATGATGGAAAACTGGTATATTTAGTTTTTTTTTAATATCTGGGCTCTCGTTTAAGGTAAATCAGCATCAAAACACATTTATTCGCAAAAACACATTTATTCACTTACAAAAAATACTTTTCACGGATATTATTCTTTTATTTTACCCTCTTTCTGGCTTGAACTTGTAATGGTTAATCGGTTAAAAAATCCCAGTAAGGACCGTTGCCAAAATTAAGCGGAAAATATCTAAATAATGATAGCAGTTTCCAGATTCAAAGCGATTCTCGGGAATTTGTGATGAATTAAATCAGGCTATTCACCTCAACGAGTAAGTTTTACGAAACATTTTTCTACAAAAACGTCAAGAGAAGAAATTTTTCGCAAGTTCTTTTGCATTATCGGGGGAGGGCTATTTTTCTAAATGTTGATAAATGCCTATTAATATAGCCTTCGGCTTGTTAATGGCCGTATCAATCAAATCGAAAAAGTGTAATTTGATCGAGAAATTAATGTTTCTTGGATGCTTCCACTTAAAGTAATGTATTTTGTCATAATTCCGAGATCACAATGTTTTTTAGAACTGTGTTTTTTAAAAGAAATTTTAAGGCTCTGAATTTAAAAACAAACATGCTTTTCACGACAAAAAAGCTGTTCACGACGCAGATTTTTGGTCGTTAGTTTTATGCTTTTCGGATCAATAATTTATTCTTTTAAAAAATGGAAAGCTAGAGGACATTAACGAATTGGTATATGTGGAGGGCGGGGCAGCAGCGGCTGCTGCTGCGTTCCATTTCCGGGCGTAATCGGTTCCAACGGCAAATTCCACGCGCCGCCAGTTAGCTAAAAAAATCGTATTTCATCATGCATTAGGTAAATCCACGCCAAAATGCCCAAGAAATTCCTACGCAAGCCTAAAAATAAAATTCAAAAACATGAAATAAACTTAGAATTTTACTTTAATATACGTATAATTAATTAAATACATACAAATAAAATATACAATTAATTTAACAAACATAAGTTCTTAAGCTAATTTAAAAATTAACTACCTGAACCGTAATTACTCATATTGCCGTAGGTGCGATTACCGTTTTGTTAAAACATTTTTTTCACGAACATTTTTGAAACCTTTTTTCTTAAGGTACGCTAAAAATAAATGCCTTAACGTGTAAAAAATGAAAACCTTATGAAAAAAATAAATATGAATCAATTGCCGTAATTTCGCCAGCATTACTCAATTTTGGCCAATTTTAAGGTTTAAAAACCGTGGAAAAGGGGCTTTTGCTCGAGGAAAATTGCCGATTGGTTCTTTATTCAAGCTATTTTTTTGCTATAAAAAAACCATAACCTCCGAAATATTTAAAGTACGTTTCACTACAAATGACCCGTAGAAAACCCCCAGCTACAAGCTACAAACTACAACTACAAGCTACAAAACCTAAAAAAAGCTCCGAACCTGTTGATGAGCCTGGATTCTCACCGGGTCGCTCGGTTCATCGACATCTTTCACCAGCCGTTGGCCCCCATTTCGAGGTCTCGCCGCGAAGCCACGCCCACTGCCGGGTACGGTAGCCCCCAGTCTGGCCAGAACTCGTGGTGGGACCAGATTGGGAGGGGTTGGCATCAGCCGGCCTACGGTAGGTGGGGCATCTTTTTGGGGTCCCGTCGGGGCCGTGACTTCGTTTTTCTCGGCCGAATTTTTCCCGGTCTCCGCCCGTTTCTTGGCCCGAAAATTGTCGTCGCCATCGGCCTCTTCATCCTCTGGGGAACTATAAAGCAGAATAAAAAATATAAAATTTTATGCACTAGATTTTCGCGCCCTGATATTATAAAGATTGATGTTTCATGGTCGAAATATGGCCGGGAAGCCGCTTATCCACCACTTAACTGCCCTGCGATTTTCTTAAAAAATTGTTATTTTGCCAACACCGCAGGCTTATTCTAAATGTAGTTTAAAAACCTTAATAATGCAGTAATTTAAAAAACTCATGAATTAAAAAAATTTAAGACTTTGTAAACAACTAATATTTCCCGAATTTAAAGATGTTTCAACTTAAGCCGTATTTTGGAAACCCTTTTAAGTACTAATATCATATTTTTGTGTTTCAACAACCCTTTCCTAAATTATTACTGCGCCAAAAATAATAAGGCTCCATTTCTTAGATTTTCCGAATTTCCTTGCCTACAGTATCGCGAAAATCTTTTTTAGATGCTTAACCATTTGTTAAGATTTTCTTTACAATGCCACGGTAAAGGTAATTCCAGGGGAAAATTCCCCTTAGGCAGCTTAGGAAGTATGATGTTTCAACTAAAAAAGTATATCGTATCCTGGGATACACATCAATGTTTTGTTTTGTCTTTAATAAATTTTCAAATTTGGTCTTAAATAAAAAGAAAGGAATGACGAAGCGTTTTGTAAGAGCAAGGAATGGTTTTCGCGCCGTTTATCTCGCTCTCTCACTCTCTCTCATTCTCTCTCCCCCTCTCTCTCCCTCACTCTCATTTTTACTGACCTCTTCCTCCCCTGCTCTCCCTTCGGATTCGATGTTTCACGGCTTGGTTCCCTTGATCGTTCTTCTGATCTCTGATTTCTGTTCTCATTTTCCTCCTCTTCATCCTCTTCTTCACTCCTCTGTTTCTTCTTGACTTTCTTCTCTTTTCTGGGCCCTGATTCGCCAGGTTGCGCGAATCCCGGCGGGAATGGCGGTGGGAAACCGGGGAATCCTGAAAAAAGAATTATTTTGATTAGAACCAAAGCAGGTTGGGTAAAATTGAAATGTTTCAAGTAATTGTAAGCAGCCGGAGATTTTTTTATATACTAATGCGAAGTAAGTGTTTACTTTATGACATGTGATATTAAATCGAGGCTTGGCCCATTTTGATACACGCCAATTATTTGGCGTAAGAATTGTTACCGTAAGGCTTGTTAATTATTTTTAACAAGGAAGCCATCTAAACTACGCTCGGAAAATGTAAGTGCTGTAACCTCTACATTTCTTTAACATACTGTATTCTATAATTTAGTTAATGGTTGCGCCATAACTAAAACACTCAAAAACATCCTAGTAAAATTTATGAAATTTTTTTGGCGTGATTTGAAGTGATAGAAAGCAAGATATTATAGCAACTATCACTCTGGCACCCTGACGAATGCGTGAAACATTTTTTTGAAGAGTTGAAAGTTATTTTTGTGAATCTTACACGTTGTTTGTTATTAAATCTATACCTTTCTAGAGCATGAATGAGCAACCTATTTTGCTGAATTGTGAATATATGTTTCATCCTAAATATAAATTCCCTATCCGGTAAAACATTTAATACCATGACGGCGTTTATGGCGTAAAATATAACGTATTTTTCGTATTTTTCATAATTTCTACTGTGCCTTAAAATACTGTAATTTATGGTTTAATAGCGAATATAATTATTCTTCAAATATATCAAATTAGATAATTACAATAATACCGTAATCCCACCTGGAAAGCCGGGAAACTGGAAGGGGAACTGTGGGGGTTGCGGTGGCTGAGGCTCCGATTTTTGCTCCGGCTTCTCCTCCTCCTCTTCCTCCTCATCTTCATCTTCTTTTTGCTCCTCCTCCTGCTCCCCTGATTTCTCTCTGCTTCTCCGCGTCTCCTCACTCTTCTCGTGCTCCCTGCTCCTCTCGGCTGATCCCTCCTTTTCTCTGTTCCTCTCCTGTTCCCCAGACCTCCCCTCATTTTCTCGGGAGGTACTGTAGGTTTTGGCCGCCGGGCTTTTCCCTTTGTAGTTTGTAGGAGGGGTTGAGGGGTTTTCCGGGGCCTAAATTAATGTGATTTTTACGAAGCATTTCGGATCATAACTGGGAGGCAAAGAAATTTTCTGAATTTTGAGGATCTTGAAACATTCTTTTCTTTTACGTCTTTGGTGACTTCCTGCGAGCCAAATTAAAGCCATTTTTTGAGATTTTACGGGAACATAATTCCAAAATGAGAGATTGTTCTCGTTGAAACATTTCCCGCCAAATTTTTGGTAAAGTCATGGTGCTACTCTCCCTAGGAATCTCTTCTAGCTTGCCCTAGCAAAAGCCCTGATTTCCCTACAATATGCCCGATTCCTAACCGATCCCTGCTAGCTTGCCCGATCTTCCCGAGGCTTATCCGGATCATTTTCGCACGCCACAACGGACTGATTAACAAAACCTGGTTCTTCCCTATCCCAATAAAATTTTGAAACATAGAATAAAAAACAATTATATTTTAAACACGGCATTGATCCGTTTGATTAATTTGCT